GAGAGGAAGGGAGGGAGAGAAACATCAATGTGAGAGAGAAGCACTCACTGACTGGTTGCCTCCCGTAAGTGCCCAGACCAGGGATTGTGTGCAGCTGGCCTGGGGATTGAACCTGAGAGCTAGGTATGTGCCTTGACCCAGAACTGAACCCACAGTCTTTCGCTTACAGGAGAATGCTCCAACTGACTGAACTATACTGGCCAGGGCTAATTTTTAGGTTTTAAGGATTTCGATTTTCCCCTCTATTTTGATAAATGGTTTAAGTATGATAAAACCCTTTTTTAGCCCTGGCTGGTGTAGCTCAGTGTATTGAGCGTGGGCCTGCAAACCAGACAATCGAGGTTTGATTCCCAGTCAGGGTTGCAGGATGGTTCCCTGCAGGCCAGTTCCCAGCAGGGGATGCACGAAAGGCAACCATACATTGATGTTTCTCTCCTTCTCTCCTTCCCTTCCCCTCTAAAGATAAATACATAAAAATCTTAAAAAAAAACAAAAAACCTTTTTTATACTTAAACCATTTATCAAGTTAATGAACGTTTTAAAGAAACACACTGAGAAATCAAAGTTCTATTCTTTGACATTTTCTTGAAATATGCATTTCAATTATACAGAACTGGGGAAAAAACTCAAACACCCAATGCAATGTATCTTCTGTTAAAGAAAACTCTCAAAAATCAAGTACTTCTGTGTTTTTAAAATCTGAGTGAAAACTCTACTTAAACATAGTAGATGCCTTAATTCGTTAGAACTGTTATAACAAAAACACCATGGACTTGGGTGGCTTAAACAACAAATGTTTATTTCTTACGGTTCTGGAGGTCAGAAGTCCAAGATCAAGTCCAGTGGATTTGGTGTCTGGTGCATAAACGGCTGCCTTTGTGCTGCCCTTGTGTGGTGGAAGGGGTGCGAGTTTCCTGGGTCTGGTTTGTAAAGGCAGGAAGCACATCCAGGAGGACGTGGCCTTCGTGACCTGTTTACCTCGCAAAGGCCCCACCTCCTCATTTCTAGGCACCGAGGGTTAGGATTTTAAAGTAGGAATTTGGGGGGGACACAAACATTCAGTTCATAAGAGGAGGTACATTTATTAAATCAGAAACAATAACTAAGGAAGAAAATAATTTAAAATGTACTTAATTTGCTTTCCTACCCACTTTTCTGAAGCCAAATACAAAGATCACATCTGAGTCTCCAAAGCCTGGATTGAGTTATGTGGGTAACTTAACTGAGTTGGAAGTGTAAAAGAAAACTCTGATTTTACTGTAATTTGCCCATGAAAGAAAAAAAGGATGCATCATAAATAGCCAGTGGAACTAGTTAATGAAAGAATGATTTTAGTAAATGATCTCAATTCACAGAAAATTTTCAAAAACTGTCACAAAGTATGATGGTCAAGGTCCTTCATTTGCAAGGTGTCCTTGGGCCGGGTCATGGTAAACCAGGGGCTCTTTCATGAGGTCTGGAAACCTCTGGAGAGCAAGTGGGTTACCTTCTGAGAGCACTTTTTTCCAACAGGACTGGAATTTTGGCTCAGAGTGAGTTGAGTCAGGAGATCAGAAGACTGGGCTACCTGGCAAATTTCGAAAACACAAAATTGTGAGCTAAATTAAATGACTTGTATTGAGCTACTAAGTTTTGGGGGTTGTTATGCAGCAGTAGGTGTGGTAACTCCCTTTCAGCAGGGCATGCTATATCTCACATTCCCACCAGCAATTGGCATTATTGAGCTTTCTAATTTTTACCCATCTTATAGGTGGGTATATAGGCATAAATGGTATTGTTTAATTTGGATTTCTTTAGGATTATAAATGAAATTGAGTATCTCTTCATATGCTTGGTGGACTTTGGGCTTTCCCTTCTTCAAGTTGCTGTCTTTTTCTTGATGATTTTTAATCCTTGCATATTCTAGACATTAATACCTTTCCATTTTTGGATACTACAAATATCTTCTACTGTTCTGTAATCTGATTTTTATCCATGATGGCCTTGTTGAATAAAATTCAATTTGTCTTATATAATCAAATGCATCAACATTTTGCCTCATGGTTTGTATTTGTGAAGTTTTAAGAAATGCTTCCCAACTCCGAGGGTCACAAAGACACCTTAATACAGTGTCTTTCGGCTTCTTTACAGTTCTTAGAAAATTTACGTTTTTCATTCATCTTTCATTCATTCTGCTAGTTTGGAAAGTGCATTTTCAAAAGGGCCTTTCCAACCATGACAGTTGGTCCCATGGCCCTGTTTTGGTGCGTGGTGTGGGATGGGGTCTGGGTTTTCTTTTCTTTCCAAGTGACTCAGTTTCCCTAGCACCGTCTGCTGCACAATTCATCCTTTCCCCCATTGGCTTGTGGGGACACCTTTGTTGTGCATTAAGTTCTCATGTGCAAATGGCATGTTGGAGATCTTCTATTCCATTGGATAATTTGTCAGTTCATGTGCTATTACAACACTTTTTTGTTTGCTTGTTTTTACTATAACATGAGGTTTGATATTTTCTTGGTTCTAGGCATTCAACCATATGCTTTTATTCTATATTCTCACATAATCTGCTCAGAAACCTGCAAGTTCAGAATTATTATTTGTATTTTACACGTAGTCCTATTTTACAAGGAGACAGGCCTAGAAAATTTCATTTCATTGCCCGAGGTTTGTGTGCTGTTGTACATACAGTGCAGCTAGGGTCTGGGTAAGTCCGCCTGGCTCAAGAGCATTGTTTTTTTTCTGACATGCCTAGTTTGCCAGCTCCTGGTCTGGTTGTCCTGTAAGCTCACTGGAGTCCTGACCAATTGGGAAAGGAGGAAAAATTCATCATCTCTCTCTCTTAGCAAACAATGGCATGGTTCTAGGTGTACAATGGCATGGTTCTAGGTGTAACTGGCCTATTTTCTCACTCAGATCCCTCATAATCTTTCCTGAGTAACAAGACTAGTGCTACCAATGTGCGAAGTTTTAAAAAGTCATGTTCTGAGTTAGATTTGGGTCACATATGTGATAATTAAAAAAACATACATCTCCAGATGCTGGGAGTGATGTAGTGTTTTCTAACTAAAATATATGCAATCTAGCTCAATGGTTAAAAAAAAAAAAAAAGGCCAGTAAGCCTCGGTCCTTACAATGCAGGCAACTGTTATTACCCACCCTCTTTTTTTCTAGTAGAACCTGGACTTCATGCAGATAACGACCCCCTAGTCAGCCAGGTGCTCCACATAAGCCAACTACTGTCATCTTACTCTCCTGCCATCAGTTGGTTTACACCTGGACAGGAACCCATTTCTGGCCACTGGGACTGAAGGGAAATCTACCAGGGTGGCTTCTAGGAAGTTTTTTTTTCTCAGTCTTAAACAAAAAAGATATACAAGCTTTCAGGAGGAAGAGGTTTCCTCTTCCTCTTGTGTGACGTTGGGAGCTATGGCAGCCATGGTGTGACTGACAAGTGGGCTGACCTACTGAAGATGGCAGAGCAGAGAGGGAAGGAACCAGGTCCTGGTGAGACCGAACTGGTCAACTGACAAATCCTGAAACAGTCTCATCTCCGAACTTTTAAAAATAAATATTTTATTGATTATGCTACTAGTCATCCTAATTTCCCCCTTGCCCCCCTACTCAGTACCCCCTTCCCTCCAGCAGTCCTCACCCCCTTAGTTCATGTCCATGGTCATGCATATATGTTCTTTGGCCACTCCATCGACGATGCTGTTCTTAACATCCCCTATTTGGTACCTACCAATTTGTACTTCTTAATCCCTGCACGTTTCCCCCCATTCTCTCTCTTCCCCTCCCAATTGATAACCCTCCAAATGATCTCTGTATCTATGATACTGTTCCTGTTCTGCTTGTTTGCTTAGTTTGTTTTTTGGATTCATTTATTGATAGTTGTGAATTTATTGCCATTTTAACGTTCATCATTTTTCTTATATAAGTCCCTTTAGCATTTCATATAATAATGGCTTGGTGATGATGAACTCCTTTGGCAATATTAAAAATGCCATTTGTTGAATAAACATTATATATTCAAATAGACCAAAGGGTTTATAGTAAAAAGTAAGTTCCCTCCAACATCTGATTTCCAGAATTTTATAGTAAAAAGGGTTTATAGTAAAAAGTAAGTTCCCTCCAACATCTGATTTCCAGAATTTTAAGCTTCCTTCCCCAGTGGCAAGCACGGTGGCTAGTCTTAAAGACACACAGGGTCCATCACAAATAACACCCATTCTTTTTATTATAAAATCATGAGCACATAATCCTGTAATGTAACAGTATCACACTCAAGCACACCATATGATGTTTTAGGTGAAATGTTCAAATTGCTGTCCATCTTGTGCCAAACATTCATGTAGCCTACCAACCACACTCAAGCAGGCCTTATTTCTGCCAAACTCTGTATACTGCATAAACAAACATACATCTCATTCTAGTTATCTACTGCTGTGTAACAAATTGCCCCCAAACTTACTGGCTTGAAATAACATTTATTATCTCACTCTTTCTGTGGAGAGCAGTCCAGGGCCTTACCTGGGCCCTCTGGCTCAGGGTCTTTCAAAGGCTGCTGTCAGCTGTCGCCGGAGCTGCAGTCACCTCATAACTCCACTCAGGACGATCTGCTTTCAAGTTCACTTAAGGGGTGTTGGCAGGATGTAGTTTCTCACAGGCTGTTGGGCTAAGGGCCTCATTTAACTGACTTTTGGCCTGAGGCCTCCTCCAGTTTCTTGCCACAAGGGCCGCTCCGCAGGGCAGTGCAGAGCACGGAGAGTGACTTAACTAGAACCAACAGGCAGGAAGAGCCAGGAGGGTCAAGGAAGACAAGAAGCCAGGGTTTTTTCATAACCAGATCTCAGACCTGACATCTTACCGTTGCTTTCTTTTCATTGGAAGCACGTCACTGGATGGGACCCACACTCAGGGGGAGGGGATTACATATAGGGCATGGTTACCGGGGCTGAGAGATCACTGGGGGGCATTTGGAAGCTGCCTAACACACGTGTATGATGTACTTCTATCTATAGGTACCTTTGTTGGGGAAGCACAAAGGTTCTTACCTTGCTTTTGTCATGCAGCCGTGTACCTTGGAGCCATTTCTAAGTAAGTAAAGATCTCTCAGTCTTCCAGCACTGGCCGAGCACTTCAGCCCAACTCACACACTGAGCATTCTTTGGGTGTGCCGTATACATTATTCAGTAGTCCCTTGTTGATGGATGATGGTTAGGGCATTTTTAATCTTTTGCTGAAGTGACTTGCTGTACATATCCACTAATGGTACGAGAATGCATCTGGAAGGTAAAATCCTACAAGCAGAACCGCTGAGTCAAAGGGTAGGTGCACTTGACATTTTGATAACTGGCTGAGTTGCCATCCTGGGGAGGTTGTACCAAATTTATTTTCCAACTCCAAAATATAAGATTTGTCTACTTCACCACAGCCTCTGGAGGTATCCTCACCCACAAGTTTTGATGAAAAAGGAAAGGAGAAACTGGACAAAAACTAAAAACCAAAGTTTAATAAATGGCACAAATTAAGTCATTAATTTTTAGCAACTAAAAATGGAACAAGACTCTTCTATTTGCTAACTTGATTTGGATTTACCAGAGTATCTTGCTAGTATCACATACAATTGAGGGACTTCTGCATTTAGGCCCCAGTACACTGGTGACCTGCTCTGACTCCTGTCACTACAACCTCAGAGAATATCTGTCCTGCAGAGGCTGTGCGGCTCTCTAACAGCATACAGCTTATGGGATTCCACCTGCGTCTGGAGGATGTGCTACCAACAAATAGCAAACTAAGTTTACACTGAGTAATTATTTACTTTGGAAACTACAGCTTCGGGCATCTTTGTCTTTTCTGCCCATACTTAAAGCATTAGACAGACAGGGACAGTCTTTGCTGAGAGTCTCGCGGTTCCCTGCTTTGCAGTGCTTGGGTGGAACCAGCGCTCAAGCCAGACAGTGAAGAGAGTTCAGCTTGAGGCTGGCTTCCCTATAAATCATGGAGGCGACTTCCCTGGTCACCAAAGCAGTACATGAAGCAATAGACATACAACGGAGTATCATTTAACCTTAAAAAGAAAGGAAATTCTCACATGTCTACATCACAGGTGCTGCCCTCTGCCTCCTCCTCACAGTGCCCTAGGGCCCAAGGCCCCACCACTGCTCCAGTCCCTCACAGGTGTGCCAGAACTACCACCAGGACTCAGAGGCCACCATCAGCCCCCAGGTCAATCTGGAGCTCACATTTCTTAGGTCTACCTATCCAGTCATACTTTGCGTTGACATGGCTTTGAAGAACTTGGTCAGGTACTTTCCTCACCAATCTCATGAGGAAAGGGGACATGCTGAGAAACTGACGAAGCTGCAGAACCAATGAGGTAGCAGAACCTTCCCTTCAGGACGCCAGGAAACCAGACGGTAAGGACCAGGAGAATGGGCTGAATGCAATGGAGCACGTGTTACACTTGGGAAAAAGTATGAATCAGTCAGTACTGGACTTGCACAACGTGGCCATTGCCCCAAATGACCCCCATTTGTGTGACCTCACTGGGACTCACTACCATTAGTGAAAGGCATCAAAGGACAGGCCATGACCACGTAACCAGCCCGTGCAGGAAAGTGGCATGGCAGAGCATCTCTTTGAGAAGCGCATCCTGCAGACAGTGAAGAGAGTTCAGCCTGAGGCTGGCTTCCCTGTAACCATGGAGGCGACTTCCCTGGTCACCAAAGCAGTACATGCCTTTTGGAATTACCTGTACCTTTTCTGTAACTCGTACCAAGTCATCCACTTACGTCTTTCATTTACACCATTTCTTCAAATAGAGTAATGTGGTACCCCACCAAAATGAACTATAACAAAATATAATAAAATATAACCTGAACTAAACTAAAAAGTGTTCGGGTAAAAGACGTCTCAGAGCCCAAGTATAGCTCTCCTCCAACTCCCCTCCAAATTCTGGAATCCTTTCTACAATCAGTCAGCTTGTGTATTTTCACAGAGAAATACTGGTTTCATTAAGATAGATTGGAGCGGCAGGGAGGGAAGAAGGCATAAACAGATCCCACAGTTTCCTCAAGTCTGCTCTTCTCTAGGCTGCTGACTTAATTTTGCAGCACTCCTCCTTCCCAGGACTTGATTTCCAGATGCACCATCACACTGATTTCTCTCCCTCAAACATAATTCCTATTTGAAGATTTAAAGATGTCAAGCATGAGGACATCACAGTGCCAGTTTTTCTGCGGATCCCCATAGGACAGGAGGTGCACTTTTAGGACCACTGGGTGAGTTTGCATAATGACAAAAAGCTGCTGTGAATTAAAAAGTGCTTTGGTAATATTCACAACAGCACAATTCACAATAACCAAGAGCTGGAAGCAACCCAACTGTTCCTTGAATGAATGGATAAACAAACTATGGCATAGACATACAACGGAGTATCATTTAACCTTAAAAAGAAAGGAAATTCTCACATGTCTACATCACAGATGAATGTTGAGGATATTATGCTAAGTGAAATAAGCCAGTCACAGAAGGACCGACACTGTTATGATTTCACTTATGTGAGATACATAGAGTAGTCATATTTATAGAGACAGAAGTTAGAATCGTTGTTTCCTGGGACTGTGATGAAGAATGGGCGACAGTGGTGAGTGTGTGTTTAATAGGTACAGAGTTTTAGTTTGGGAAGGTGAAAAAGTTCTGGAGGTGGATGATGGTGATTGTTTGCGAAAGAATGTGAATATTCATAATGTCACTGAACTGTGTACTTACAAATGGTAATTTATAAGCAGCAAATTTTATATTATCTGTATCTTATCATAATAAAACAAATTATATCCTGTCATAGCAGTAACCTTAAACATTTGAAAAGTAAGTGTATATGTGGCTGAGATTCATTACTCATAACACTATACAGTTAGTTTGGGCTCACGCCTCCCCTTCCCCAAAGTCTTCCTTCATCCATGGTAACCTTCTGGAGCCATTTCCCTGGGCAGAGTTGACTAGACTGAGCATGCACAGCTGTGATCTTGGAATTCAGTTTCAGGAACTTTGTCTTAGTTTCTGTGTCCGGTGATACACTAAGTATTTCATATAGGTGGGATCTGCAAGGCTGCCACCTCCATGTTTGCTTACTGTTTATTTCACAAATGTTTACTGGTACCTGCTATGTCCCGGACATGCTAGCATGTGCTGGGATTCAGCCCTGCCCCTGCCCTCCTGGAGAAGCAGAGCAAGCCTGAGTGCAGGGGTATTATCTTGAATATTTTGTGGACTGTTCTCTCCTATAAACAACACAATACACCTCATTTTTTTCACATTTGATTTCCCCCTTTAAATTATTTTTTAATACATTTCCCAGCACCAGCACTAGCGCAATTGCTCAATGAAAGCTTGGTTGACAATGACAGGATATTAGATTTTCAATTGTAACAATAAATGTCACAAGAGCGCCAAGATCATTCACAGAAGTTGCATGTGTGTTCACAGGCCACCAGTAAAGGATGGGGGTGTTTTTGTTTACCAGTGGCAGCAGCGCCACCATGTGGCAAAGTAATAAATGACTTTTACTGTCCCTGGAGCCTGCCTACATAGAAATTACACAATTTTTTTTTTTTTTAATTTGCAGATGTAATTGGCTTTATAGATGGAACTCATGAATTGGGCTGCATCCCATCTAGCAACTAGAAGAACTTTCCCAAAATTACACAATTCTTGAAAAAAATTTTAATTGGGGTTGAGTTTCATATTATTTCAAAATTTGTACGGAAGACTTTCAAATCTGTTTAAAGTGAGCAAGATTTGCATTTTCTCAAAATGAGACAACACCGTGCTAAGGTTTCCATCCTGCTCTCTGAGCAGCTCCTAGTGACTCCTGCAGCAAAACTCTTGGGACCAGAACACACCCCCTTCAAAAGTTCTACAGCATCCTTCATGAGGTCCTCCCTGACTCACCCTATGCTGTACCAATCTTTTATGTTCCCATCAACATGCCTCAGATATAGAATTTATTCATTTACACATATGTGAGTGCCTGCATGGTGCTTACTCTATTCTAGGGACTGCAGACACAGCAGGAAACAAATTGGACTAAAACTTGTCCTGATTATACTCTGATTGTGACACATCTGTCTCCTTTACGCCCTGGCAGTCACCTGACAACAGAGACCCGTTTCATCCCGTCCTCACTGGAACCACACCATCTACCCATTGAACTCCCCAGGAACGATTTCAGAACTCAGTTGATTTGAGATGACTGTATTTATTAGGACCATCCCCATGTAAGTTTTCTGGTGGGATCAAAGCTGTGCCTGTCAGCCAGGGAAAAAACACAGAAGCAGAGAGTTTACTTTAGATCCTGTGGTCCGTAAATAATAGCCCTCCAAAGATGTCCACAGAACCTTCTGAATATGTTCATTTGCGTGGCAAAGAGACTTTGGGGGTGTGATCAAGTTAAGGCTCTTGAGATGGGGTGCTGATCCTGGATTGCCATGGTGAGCCCAAAGTAACCAGTGTCCTTTCGCAGAGAGAGGCAGTAGAGTTAGACAGTGGACACAAGATTGGAAGCAGAGGTCAGAGAGGAGAAAATGCTGTTGCTGGCTCTGAAGATGAAGGAGGGGACCACCAGCCAGAGAACTCTGGAAGCTGGAAACGGCAAGGAAATGGATTCTCCTCTAGAGCCTCGAAAATGAACAGGCCTGCAGAACTAAGATAATTAATTTGTAATGTACATATATTACATTACAAGTTAATATACAATATATTGTGTTATAAGTCACTAACTTGGTGGTGATTTGTCATGGCAGCCTACAGGACACTAATACAGACTTCTACCTGTCTTCCTCCTAGTCAGCCTCCCCTCTGCCCATTCTCCCCAGCACACAGAGCAGGACATTTCTAATTTGTTCCTCCTTTTCCCAAGTCATGGAGTTGTCCTGGTTTTTCTTAACACAAGCCTGTAACTGTGTTTCTCAAACAGGGCTGTCTAACCTTTGGCATTCTTTGGTGTATCTCGGATTTCTTGAGTTTTCTATGAGAACTTAAGATTTTATATGTTCAGTTCCAAAGTTAGGTAAAAAAATTAATATATAATTCAACCTAAAGCCCAAAGGTCAGCCTCAACCTCATGAGAACACTGAAGGCATTCTCATTAAAGTCAGGAACAAGACAAGAATATCATCTTGCACACTCTTGCTGCTATGCTGGAGGTACTAGCTAATGTGATCGCACAAGAAAAAAAAGAACCAAAAGATAGAACAAATGGGACAAGAGGAAGTAAACTTGTAGTTATATGCAAATGATATGACCTGAAAGCCCAAGAGAAAAAACTAAAAAACTATACAAATAATAAAAGAATTCAGCAAAATGGCTGGGCACAACACTGATTATAGAAATCAATTACTTAGGACATGTAAATAACAGAAAAACTTATTCTAACAACAGAAATGATAAAAGATAATAAGAAATATGCAAAATCAATGTGAAGGAAATAAATAATGAAAAAGAAGTATGTCATATTGCTTGATAAAAAGATCTACCATGATAGGAATATGAAAATCAAGCCTTAGTTGTTTTAAGACCACTACAGTTGGACTTCTGTTATTGGCAACCATATAAAATTGATAAGGTAAATAGTCTTGTTCATTTTCTCTTAAGTTCATTCTCCACCCAGCTTTTTAATTACCTGGTCTTGCCTCAAGAGTTTCAGTCTTCACAGGGATATTTAGGCTCTTTGCTGGTGGCAGGCAGGGCACAGGCTGAATGAGGTCTGTTCCGTGGGTGGTCGGAGCCGATCCCACCTTTGGACTGCCAGGCCATAGTAAGTAAGAACTCCCTAGTTGTTGCCTTCTGCTAGTTGTCATGACTTGGGATGGGCAAATGAAGCCCTCCTTTGTCTTTGTCACACACACATACACCATACTCACTTAGGAACACCCATTTCTATAGTGCTCCACTTGGACCATCCTTGGTTTATCTTTCCTTTACCCCATCACCTGAGGATATGTCTATTGATTTTTTTTTTAAAGAGAGGAAGGAAACACACACACACAAACATCAATGTGAGAGAGATACATAGATCAGTTGCCTCCTGTAGACACTTGGACTGGGGATCAAACCCGCAATCTAGGCAAACCTGCAATCTAAGTCCCTGTCCAGGAATGGAACTCGCCACCGTTTTGTGCACATGGCATCACTCTAACCAACTGAAACACCTGGCCAGGGTTCATTATCTTATTTTTACAATTGCTGCATAGTAATCTTCCCACCAGGATCATAGCTAAAAGAGCGATTTTTATTATCTTCAACCTGTGTCTAGAATATCTGTGGACTGTGTAATTGGGAAAATGTAATAAATTGTATGATTTCCTTACAATTTATGTGTAGGCCCTTGGCAACAGTAGTTGTGAGTCTAATTAAAATTTAGGATTTTGTAAAATTCCATGTGTACATTAATGCTCCTTCATCTTCCTTAATTCAGAGTTTGAGTAATAGGGCCTAGATTTCATGACTTACATGTATTCAGGAGGACTCTGGTCATTGCCGTGACTGAGTTTTTAAAAGTAGACTTAATTAGGCCTTAATAAAGGCCTGTGTATTACTTCTTGTCAGGTAACATTAGTCTGATTTCCTTTGGGGCTTTATTGTATCAAAAAGAGGGAAGAAGTCTGCATTAACTTTATTTTTAACTTTGGGGGTAAATATTTAGTAAAAATCATTTGTATGGGAAGTAGGACTTTAGGGATTTGAATAAAAAGTGTATTTATACTCACTTTGTAAGAGACAAAACCAGCCTGCAGCGTTGCCAGAACGACTGGGCAAAGCCAATCCCACTTCTCCCTTCCTCCCAGCTGATGATTTCACTTCCTAATCCTAGACTGTAAACAAGTAATTAAGATCTGGTGTGATGAGCATCTTGCGTGAGAAGTATAGGGTGCTACGGATCAGAAGCAGCCTCTAACTGAGGCTTGATGGCGGAGGGAGGTCCACAAGGTCCGGGACAAAGTACCATCTTTAATAGGAGCACAAAAATTGATTAGCTTTAAATTCGAGGCCAGGAGGAGGGTGAAGGAAGCAGCACAGAATAGAAAAAGTGTAATCAGATCTGAGATTGAAAATAAATTCAGCCTTTGGCTGTGTAGCTCAGTTGGTTGGAGCATCATCCCCATATACCAACATTGAGGGTTCAGTACCTGGTCAGGGCACATCCAAGAACCGACCAATGAATACCTAAATAAGTGGAACAAACAAAAATCGATGTTTCTCTCTCCCTCTTCCTCTCTTCCAAAATAAGTAAATAAAAATTTTAAAAAGGACAATAAACTCAATTGGATTGGAGGTTGCAAAACATTGTTCCATTTTAATTTCAATGTACAACACTTGTCACTTTCTAATTATTTGTTTAGAAATTTCTTTTTTGCTGTTTGTTCATCATCTGTTCTTCTAACCTCACCTCCTCACACAGCAGCCCTTAGCCTGATGACTCCTTAGTGCCTGGTACATACGACAGTTAACATTTCTTGAGGGTCAGCTGCTCTTCCTCTGCCCTGGGCCCCAACATCATCCAAACAGACACAATTCTACTTCTTCAGAGTTGGTTCAAATGCTGCCTTCTCTGTGAAATCTCCACCATTTCTTTACCCCATCCCTACCCTCAGAATTATTTACTTCATTCAGAGATCCCACAGCTAATTATCCTTACTTGCAGCATCAATTGAATTCTGCGAAGTGTTAGTTTGCTGTTCCCTTCTCTTGCCCAATCCTCATTAAGTTTTAATCACAGAAAGACAATATATTTTTACTTGTCTCTCTAAATTCAACACTTTGGCCAGGCTTTTAAAAACGAAAAGTTCTCAAAAACATTTTGCATAAATAAATTAGGGAGAGAAAGTCGTGAACTTGTCTTCTTCCTCCCTTCCCTCAGACTTCAGTGCCACTTTTTAAACCATAAAATCTGACCATGTAACAGTCTTACTTAAAACCCTATTGCAGGGCTCTCTATATCTTCAGAATTCTAACTACTAAGCACACTGTTGCCTCAGAATCCTGTGTGAACTTGCTCCCCATCCATCTCTCCAGGCACATCCCTCCCTACGCCTGGATTAACAAACCGGTGACCACACAGAGGCCTACTGATTCACGCCACCAGGCTTTTAGTTCAACTACTCTCTCTGTATGGTGTTCCCTTCCACTTCTGTGATTAAACATGAAAACACTCAAAGAACGTAATTCTTAAATAATCTCCATGTATGCTGGATTTAGAATAGTGTGTATTTATGATTTCCTCTCATTCATCCACTGTCTGCAGTTACCCTCTCATCGTGTAGAGGCCCTAAACGGGGTCTATCCGATACCTTCATTGCCGGAGTCTCAGGCTGGGTCAAATGCTCCTCTCTCCGCTCTCTGGGCACAATTCTATATTCAAGTACCTTGAGCAGACTGCAAGTTTCCCACTAGGTAGTGAACTCCCGAGGTGGTGCGAACAGGGTCTTTATCCACGGAACGCTGGGTAGGTACCCCGAGTTCGCTCCAGACGTATTTTCTCAGTTGAGATAAAGTCCTGCCTGGTGATCGGTGCGTTTCTTCTTTAAGGAGACGCTTCCTACTCCCCAGGAAACAGAGCTGGCTCCCAGCTACTAGGGGTTGGCGCTTGCAAAAGAGTTAAGTATCAGCTGGCCCAGAAAGGTGGGACCAGCATATATGCTCTATATTTCCGGGTCCGATAAACACGCCCAGCGCCCGAGCCCAACCAGAAAAACCAGCCTAATGGGCGGGGCCGGGGAAAATCGCGACGCCGGAAGTCACGTGTGCACCAGCTTGCATTTCCCTATCTCGGCAGTTGACTATTCAGCCTTGCTGGCGCTCTGGCGGGCTCCGCTGCGATCCACTCTCTCGGCTGTCGACTCGCTCGAGCTGCTGCCGCTGCCACCGCCGAAGGAGGGGCAAAGCTCAAGATGGCGGACAAAACGCCAGGCGGGTCTCAGAAGGCCAGTTCAAAGGTAATTTCTTAGAGGACTTCGTAAGTCAGTGAATCTCTCACTGTCGTCTGGGGCCTGCAGACGCCTCTGGCCAGCTGGAATAGGATGGGTGGGGGTTCGCCTTCTGGTCGCGATGGTAGGCCGGGGTGCGGACGCACGGTTGTGCGCAGATTGAGAGGCCTGGTATCTCCCCTTAGTCCCAGCCCGGATTTGGCTCGTGACTAGCGGCTCCTGGGGTGGGGTGGCTTTCCTGAGTATTTCGGCCGGTGCTTGACATTGGAGGGAAATCAAGGACTGAGGTCTGAAGCAGTGAAAACGCGTCGCTGTGTCTCACCTTGTTGCGCTGAGGCCACGGGTCAGCGCCTGGGGTAGGCGGGAATCGCTTCCCCGCGATGAAGTCCCCGCTCTGTTTTTCTCGGCTCTTTAGGTTTGGATCGCACGCTTCCGGCCTCCCTCAATTTCCTTTGAGCCCTCCTGGGAATAAATAACCTGTAAGACCTCCAGTTGTGAGGGGAGGACCTGTAGGGAAGGGACGCGGGGAGGGAAGTGCAGAGGCGGCGCAGGTCTCCTTTGCAGTGCTTCACCTCCTTCGTTAATTCTCTGCGCTTCACACGTGGTCTTATCTCATTCCAGAGGAAGTACAAAATGAGCAGTTCATTCCTGGGCGCAAATTCGAAGACTTGGGGTCTCCTGCGTTTCTGTGTGTTTCACTAAAAGGGGAACTTCCGTGTACTTGGAAGGCACCTTAGATTATTAGTACAACTAATAGATCCCTGTACAACTCCCTGTTGAGTTTACAGGGAACGGTGTGCGCGTACTTGTGAAACCATTGAGCTGTGGAAGTAGTTTAGTAGTATTTGTTGTGTTTAGTAGCATCAGGTCTTATTTTCCAGCATGAGCCGTTCATTTAATCCTTTTTTCTTTGAGTTCCTCATCTCGAACACGGTATGAAAAGTAATAGGTACTGCCCGGAGTAGCAGTTAAGCTTTTTGATCGTGATGTAAGAAGTTGTGTAACACTTGAAGGTTCTGGGGACTGTTACATCTAGAGTGAGTGTGATTGTAAGTCGGTTATTAGGAAGTTAGGGCAAGCCTTGCGATTACAAATTGTTGTGACAAACATAATAAGCCGTTTTGTACTTGCTGTCCCAGTTTCTAATAAACCATATTTCGTGCCATTTGGTGAATGATGTTCATAATTAGTTCGTAATTACATCCTATTGGAATATAGAAACTATGGTAGAGGCCAGTTTTGCATTCACTTTGTTATCTTCTTCCTTCCCGGGTACATTTCCCCCTGGGGAGTAGGGGAATAGTTGGGTACCTTACTGAACCCACTTCCTCTCAACGGACTCATGATAAAGCTAGTTAGTTAAATTCATAATTATGTTCACGCTTTAGCGTCACAATTTTTATTTTTTCTGAAAGTAGTATTTGAAGTATATCCTATTTTTGAGGTCTTGGATACATTGAAAAGATCTTAATGTCCGTGTTCAATCTTGTATAATAGTACTTCTCATAGTTGTGTGTGACCGTAACCTGTAATTGTTGGGTCTTTCAGTAGTCTTTTTAAGTATATTGCTTTAGACTAATCAGTTGATGCCATTAAGAGATTTTTCTACAGATGTTTGTAAAAGGGATCGGAATATCTCAGTATTCAAAAGATATCGATGTGACTACTGTGGAGGCTGCACAATGTGGAAAGATCTTGGATTTTGATAACAAAGTAGATTTGGATTCAGTTTCTGCCTTGGTACTTGATTATATTTGTAGTTTTAAGGCAGATTGAGTAAACTATTGTCTCAGTGTCCTCTTTTGTGATATGGATATAGTCCTTTTTTACAGGGTTGATAAGGATTAAATGAGTTAATGTCAATAAAGTACAAAATAATACTGGTTCTTTTTCCTTTTTATTCTTAGAGGAAATGAAAAGTACTTTTCAAAATGTCAGGATAAAGTCTAATCCTGAGATAAGTCATTAATTACCATAATGACTTCCCAGATTGTCGCTTTTTATTTTTAACACAAGTCCAGAAATTACTGGAGAGAATGTCAGATGATTTTGACTAATACTACAGAGGTTGGAATTTCTAGTCTTTTATCTCTAGGTTGATTTCCCTTCCCTGGTTACAGCAGATGAGTGACATTGTACAGTACAGATGGAGTGAGAAGATTCCTCTGTTTCATGCTTATTCATTTTTGGTACTTAAATTCCAATTAATATGGGGAGAGATGTTTGTATATCATATTTCTAGACATTTGGGGCAGTTTTAATTTAAAAAGGTACAACATACAAGGTTTTTGCCATTGATAATGGCAAAATAATTTTACATGCCTTAATTATAAAATAAAGAGGTGAAGTTAGATAATCTCTACAGTTTCTTCTAGCTTTAAAAAATTAATTTTATGTATGCATAGTTAAGTGACTTACCTTTATGTGTGGTTGTCCCTCATGAAGAGATCCCATGCCCTTTTATTGTTTGTGTAATTTTGCTATGCTTTTCCTTTTAAAGCCTGGCAAATATAAAGATTCAGTAAATGTTTTAGGAATGGGCTAAAATTTTCCTATGCATTATTCCTGTTTATCACCAGACTAAAACACTACTTTGGGGGAGGGGCATGGATGCAGTGTTGTAGCTTTGATTTTTGAGAAGAGAGACAAAGAAGGAGCCTGTAATTATTTACTTATAAACTTGTTAAACATGTTTCCTTAGAATTTTATCAAATTATTATTTTGACTTTAAGAGGTTTTTTTTTGTTTGCTTGCTCAGCAAAAATGAGAATATGTAGAAGAATGTGATATTTTCTTTCCTCTGCATGTCCTGTGCTGGTAATAGTACTAATACCGAATTGTGTGCCTGTTATTACACTCTTATAATTATTGCCATATGGTCAAAAACTGGTTTAGATAGGTAAATAAACAAAGAAAACACTGCTGGCTTTCTGGACATTCAGTGCTAAGTTGGTTTGGGAAAAATTTTGATTGACAGTTTTCTTATAAGTATTTTACTTGTAAGAAATAAGTGCAGAACATCAGTAAGTAAGAAATAAGTGCAGAAGATCAGTAAGTACAATAAGAAAGAAGATCCATTCAAGGCTGGTGATCCTTAGGTATTTATTATCGTCTATGTACATGTTCTTTTGTGGTGCCTGAAGATGTGTAAACCTATAAAAGATACCCATTTGCCTTACTGCATCCCATTTGGAATGCAAGTTGAAGACTCCTGCCTTTGTCTTTTTACAAAGAACTTCAAATTTGAAATTAAAAATTGCTATAGGATAGTAAACTCAAAAACATTGATATTGGCAATAATTTGCCTCTTATGCTTGTATTAAGTAGCTATAACATTTTATTACACACCAGCTATGTGCTAGATATTTTGCTGAAATAACTTTTTTTTTTGAAAACAAGATAAATTTGCCTATAGCACTTGAGACTATTTTGTACTGTTAGAAGTTTCTTTGAGGAGTTAAATGTTTTTCACTAGACCCATCCTCAGTTTAGATAAACTGCAGCACATTCAAAATGTAGTTACAACTTCTCATGTGTTGGTAGTGTTTTGGATGTAACTTTTAAAATAATTTCAGGTTTGTTTTTTAACTGTATTGTACATGGTATATGACTCAGTGATCTTACAGAATTTTTTTTTTTTTTGAGAGATGGACCTTGTTTTGGCTTGGAGAGTGGTATTAAGCCAGGAAGCTTCTCCATGTGAGTGAGGGGAGAGTATAGTATGTTGACAGTGTGCAGTGCAATTTTGTTGTGTAGGTACTTGTTGCAACAGGTTATATCAACAAGTATGTTGAGGATCTGTCAATTGCCCATGTGGTGCTTGATTTTGAGAAAAAGGAAAAAAAAAACATTAAATAAGACCCTGTCCCCTTTTGGGCAGTATGCAGTTTAGTGGAAGAAGAGAATCAACAGTATAGTATAAGGCAGAGCTGTCAGAGTACCTAAAAGTTTAGGGAAAGAAGTGAGAGCTGGTTGAATTCCAGGGCAGGGGAATGTTCAAGAGCATAGGGGAATTTGAGTGATTGAGTCCTTTTTAACAATGAGAGTTTTGAAGAATACAGAGAGGAGGTGTAAAAAAGAGGTGGGTGAGGCGAAAAAAATACTGCTGGGAAATGGATTGATAAGTGGTCTGGTTTAGTAGGGTGCTTGCATATGATACAGGGAGCTGAGATGGTAAGGTAAGTTTTAGCTAAATTGTGGAGGGCTTTGAATGCTGCAGAATAAAATTGGAGAACCATGGAAAATTTGAGACAGGAAAGTCATTTATGAAAGCAATTCTGACAGTTTTTAGGAAGGATTTGGAAGTGAAGAGGATCAGTTTGAAGATCATTGCAGTGCTGATAATTGAGGATTGCCTCAGAAGTCTCACTTCTGGGAAGCTTTCTGGGAAGCTTTTCCTAACATCTTCCATTAAGATTTGCCAGTGCTCTTGTGGCATAGCCACATTTTTAGTTGTCTTTTTGTTAGCTGCTAATGACAGGAGCTGTGTCTTACTTTACTTTTTATCTAATGCAAGGCACAGTAGTAGTAAATGGTTGCCTAGTAAATGTGTGAACAAAGGCAAGATCTGAACCACATGGTGTCTTTAGAAAGGATAAGGGGCCCTCATAAAAGCCAGAATGAACAGAATTTGTCTCAGTTGATTACAGGAAATAAGGAAGGAGTCCGGGATGACCTGGCTATAATACTGCTGCTACTTAACACATATTGATTAGGTAATTATTATGTATCAAATCCTGTTCTGAGCGCTTCACCTGTATTTATCCTTCACAACATTCCTTAGGCAGGTGCTATTCAGCTTTACATATGAAGGAACTAGGCCCAAGATTACAAATTCTGATTCCAGGTTTGTACTTTTAACATTTTAGTACTTCCAGACCACCCACTGTCAGAGATAAGGTCAAGAGGACAAGATGGTTTGAGAGAAACTTTAGACATACTGGATCTGAGTTGCTTGTAGGAGTAGTTGAGAGCAGACCGGGACCTACGAGAGGGATCAAGGTGGAAGATGAAGAATGGGGTCTTCTCAGTACAAAGAGGTATTGATTTGTTTCCTGTGGGAGAGATTGTTACATGTGTATAGATGCAAGTTGATGCTTCAAAAGATGAGAGGAGAAAGACATTTGGGAGACAGAAATGGGAGTGGAGAGTCGACTACACAGAGTGGCAGTATTGGAGAAATGTTACTGTGGATAGCTTGCTAATTTGAAAACGTGGATTCTGGAGGCCTTTCACTTGAACTAATGTAGGAGCAGCCAGGAGGAAAAAAGTAGTTTTTATTCTCAGCCACCAAGATACAGGGTCATATGGCATACTTATAATTGGCTTTACCTTTTTCTCCTCAGCAGCCGTCAGAATGATTCTTTCTCCTTTTGGATTTTCTTGCTGTCTTTCCCCACACCTGTACTGTCTGCTTTCATTACCCTGAGATAAATTTCTGTTACGTTTGTTTATTTCCTCAAGCCTTCCCTATTCTACCCTTTTATTTCTTGCTTTTGGGTCTTTTCATTTTGATAAAGAATTGTGCTACAGACTTTAAGCATTAATTTGTTGTTTGGAAGTTTAAAAGAAAACAAAAACCTAAGCCCAAGACAAATGATATAGTTCAGTTCCAGGTTAAGAGGGAGAGGCTCAGTTTCTGAGGTAGCATTACATTTACATTTACTGTTTATCTGGACCGTTAGCTTTAGAAGTTGGCTAGTCTTTTAAAATCTTATTAATTACTGTTTGAATTTAACTTCCATATCAATGGGAAATGTCTGGTTTGCAGTAAATATGACCAGTGCCATCTTAGGCTAACTGAAATCAGCTGATGCATCTCCTAAGCCATGCTGTTATTTTTAAGTCCTGGAAATGATTGGGATGTGGTGGCATAGAAAATAAAAGGAAGAGGAATACATTCTTAGTTTCTCTTGTATGCTTATTCTTCTGGTTGAACTTGAGAATTATTTTTGGCAATCCATTTGTTTCTGGCAAAGATTTCCCTTTGGGATTTAGAGCTGTCAAATGAAATCCTATTAGGTACGTAAATAAATTTGGGTATTAATGGACATTTTCCTAACAGTGAATTTTCCTATGCAGGAATATCATAAGTCTTTTCAAAAGGTGACTTGAATAATTGAATCTTTATGTATAGTTTGTGTTTTCTTCACACAGGTTGTGTACATTTTCTCTTAATTCATTTCTAGGTGTTTTATATTTTTTGATACTGTTGTGATTAGGATATTATTTTTGTTACCTAGCAGGTTAATACTACTACATTGGAAGGCAGTTGATTCCCCCCCGCCCAGACCATGCTATGTTTTGGTGAACTTTTTTGTCTTTTCTAAGAGAAATTATTTATACTCTTTTAATTTTCTAATTTCTAAGTGTCTGGAAATGGGCATATTTCAAATTGAGTTTCAAAGTGTTTCATAGAGTTAATTTAAATATCAAAAAAAATTTTATACCATCTTATTTTTAAGAAAGGTTAGCTGAGAAGTTAGAAGAAGGTTAGCTGAGAATGAGGAGGATCACAGTAAAAGCTGGAGACAGACAAATGATGGACAGAGAGAATGGAGGTGGAAGGTATCTTGGTGCTTGGTTATTTCAGGCTGATTTTGACTAGGACCCAGTAAAGTGGAGTTCAGAGAAAAAAATAGATTCAGTAAGAAAATGAAGTGAAGTAATACTGGGTGTATCCAATGAATCTTATTTAAATAGCCGTGCACCTTGGCTCCTTTGTCCTTAGATGAATAGTGAAAAACCAATAAAATGTCATAGGCTGTGTGTAACCTGAACTGTAGATCAGTGAAGAAAAAATCTGATGAGATATTGAGAGTTGATACTGTTGGAAGCTGCCGTGACTTGAAGACTGAACTCTTGTGCAATAGTCAGCCACAGTGGCATGCCCAAGTGGAAGCAGCCCCCTTAAAACAAGCTGCAGATGGATGCCTGTGGGGGATTTGATAATAGGATTTTGTTTTTCTTGAACTATTTCTGCAGTTGAATTTGTACCTTTTGCTGGATATCAAGGGTTTATCTGTGAATTTTCTTGTTGTTAGAATATCCTTATGTGAGTTTGGGTGATTGGAGAAAGGGGGGTGGGTTTCCGTGTTGTATAGTTGCTGCTAAGTCAGTGTTTAAGCAGTGAACAGTGTGTCTTCTGACTGTCATTTGCATCATGTTTTGGAAAATACCCATTCTGAATTTTAAAGAATGGACTTGCACATTTATTATGGATCACAGCCTTTTTGTAGATTAGAGATTCCCCGTTTAGTTTTTTTTTTAAGACTTTATTTATTTATCTTTAGAGGGGAAGGGAAGGAGAGAGGGAGAGAAATATCAATGTACGGTTGCCTTTCGTGTGTCCCCTGCTGGGAACTGGCCTGCAACTCAGGCATGTGCCCTGACTGGGAATCGAACGGCGATACTCTGGTTCACAGGCCCGTGCTCAGTCCACTGAGCTACACCAGCCAGGGCCCCCCTGTTTAGTTTTATTAGCTGAGAAGAAATTGCCACAAGTTTGGAAAAATTAAGTCAGAAAAATTGAGTATGAGAAATACTTATTAGCATAGTAAGACATTTGTCTGATCAATTAATACTGACCTTTATTTTTCATACTTGCAGACTAGATCATCAGATGTTCATTCATCTGGATCTTCAGATGCACATGTGAGTATGAGACAGTCTTTGTGTTTTTCTTTAAGATGTATTTTTTTTTACTTATATCATTACCTTTATTTTACTTAATACATAGTTATAATGTCTGAGCCTATTTTCTTTCCCCTTTTTTGTTTGGTGCTCTTTTTTTTTTGTCCTGTTCATATAAATTGGCCCTTCAAACCATGTTAGAAACCTAGTATGTTTATTTTTTTTATCATGCTGATAAAATTCTGTACATGTGTAAATGTATGTACTTGTACATTGACTGTGGCATTGCATTATACACAGTGTTGTTTTCTCATTGCACAATATACCTGTTGGACATCCCTGTGTGTGAGCAGGCATAGCTCTTGTCTAGTCTTCCTGACAGCATCACCATGTTCCACAGGGGGAGGTCCAGTTATTTATTAAGGTATTTCTCTTTTGATGGGCATATACTTTTTGTTTAAAGGGTTTTGAAAATTTGAATGATATTGCAGTAAGCATTCTTTACATATGTTATTACAAAAGCACTCAAAGTATGGTTTTTCAGACCCTTGAGAGTCACTGAGAATCTTCTAAGGAATCTGTAAATTCAAAACTATTTTGCTGTAACACAAATATATTATTTATCTTGTTCCCTGTGGTGACATTTGCATTTATGGTGAAAAGCAATTGATGGGTAAAATGTCAGCACCTGAGCAGAAATCAAGGCAGTGTTATCAAAATGTGCTAGTAGTCATCATATTCTTTCCCATAGACTCAGTAAAAATATGCTAGTTTCTCTTAAGCGTGCTCTTGGTGCAGCAGTAAAATTACTAACATTAGTTCTTGTCCTTTGTGTGATTCTTTTAATGTTGTATGCAGTGAAATGGCAAGTACTTATAGGGCAGCTCAGTTTACCAAAGTGTGATGTTTGTCTTGAAGAAAAGTACTTGTGGGATTGTTTAAATTGTGAAATGAAACTGGGTTCTTTTTTCCTGGAATACCATTTTTATTCCAAGGAGCAACTGGCAAGGTATGGTGATCAGACTTGAGTGTTTGTCGGGTATTTTCCTAAAAATGAAGGAAGTGCATATGTTGTTACTTCAAAGTAAGTGACTCTTTGTCACTAATATAAAATTCGAGCATTCAAGTTCAAGGTATAGAATTATTGGAAACTTTCCCTATATGTGAAGACTTTTCTGATGAAATTGGTGGTAGTATTAAGAGATGAGAGTTTTTATAGTGTATAATTAAATTTGTCAGTATTTGAACATTCGAGTTCTTTCTAGTTTTCAATACTACATATGTGATTTTTAAAAACTTGCTTCCCTTTTCCTGAAGATGGATGCATCTGGACCCTCAGATAGTGATATGCCAAGTCGGACACGACCGAAGAGCCCAAGAAAACATAATTATAGGAATGAAAGTGCTCGTGAAAGCCTTTGTGATTCTCCTCACCAGAATGTCTCAAGAGTGAGTGTCAATAAAGATAGGAAAGTGTAGTTAATGGTCTTAATCTGTGCTTCAATTTAGTGGTTGGATAGCTGGTTTTGTACTTGTTACATTTTGTACTATTTGAAAATAGCATTCTTTATTGTATTTAGGTTAATGATAAACTTAAGTTCATCCAAGGAAATGTTTTTTTTAGCTCATAAGTGAAGTAGGTTTTATTGGAAATTTTATTTAAAAAACCAAGGAGTGTTTCAAATGTAAAATGGTTGATAGATTTATTGTTTCTTCCTTCTACCAAACATTTACTGAACCAAGTGCCAAATGCCAGTCACTGGAAATACACAGGTGATTGAAACAAATCTCTTGCCCTCAGAGAGCTTATAGTCCTGCCCTGGGAAGCAGACACAACAGGTGCTGTTTACTCTGGTTGGTGCATTGTCCAGGGCATTACTAGAACCCAGAAAAGGAGCTTCTTTATTGCATGTGTCTAAAAGGTGTCCTTGCTTTATTTTAAATATTTTCTTGTGATTAAATTTGGAAAATAAAGAAGGTAATCAGCATCAGTCAGTATTAACATTGATAACACTTCATTTTTCTTGTTAAGTATTTCTCAGCACAAAAATATTCTTTATGAGATTCATTTTACAGGAACAACTTATAAATACTCTTCTTAGTTCTGATTTTTAAAATTTTCACAAATATTTTGTAAATAAACTTTTTAATGGATGATTGTATTTGTGAAAACGTTCCTTAATTTCCTTAACCACTTCCCTATTGGACTAAGCTCTTTGTAAAATTATGTCTTTCATTGAATTTATGTGTAATTTTATAATTTGTTTAAACTTTTGAAGTTGAACCAAAGATACTGACTGAATGATGGCAAAACATTTTTCGATCTGAGAGAGAAAATTATTTTGACTGTTCCTGAAACCCAGTATTGACTTCTGAGTTATAAAGTGCTCTATTTTTTCAAAGGGATTTTAATGTAACTTGAAAGTAGTTTTCTGCAATATTATTCTTTCATTCTGCATATCTCAGGGGCAAGCCTTTTTAGTAACTGGATTGATAAAGTCCAATTTTGGCAATTAGTTAACTTCTCATTTTAGTAGGTGCTAGAGGAACCTTCAAACTTCATTTGCAGGTTAATATTTTAGGTTGTATTTATTTAGCATTTCTTTTAAGTTATGAATCAAAGTCTAACATTCCAATGAAGAACTGAACTGAAGGCCTGCAGTTTATTCAAGCCATATCTCAGAAGGAAATTGCTTCTATGTTACATAAATGAAGATTTCGTTGAAGTACTGTTTTTCTCAGAAAAGAAAATGAAAGTGTATTCATAAATATCAGTGTTATTGACGAAGAACAAATAGATAAAAAGTAGTGGTGTATACACACACACACAATGGAATATTACCTGACCATAAAAAAATGAAATATTATTTGTTGAGAACGTGGATGAGCCTAGAGGGTATTATTATACTCAGTGAAATAAATCAGAGAAAGACAAATGGTTTCACTTACCACGTGATTTCACTTTCATACAGAATCTTAACAAAATAAATGAACAAGCAAAACTGAAATAGAGTCATAGACACAGGGAACAGACTGATGGGAACTGGGTGAAAAAGCTGAAGGGATTAAGAAGTACAAATTGGTAGTTACAAAATTGTAATAAGGACACAGTGTACAGCATAGGGAATATTAGCAATAGTAGTGTAATAACTGTGGTGCCAGGTGGGTACTGAAAATATCAGGGGAAACAAAATGGGAAAGCATTGAAAGCAAAAAAAAAGAGAAGTGATTTACTGAATCGTACAAGGAAGTGATGTGATTTGTAGTACCTGAACTGGCAGTTATAGATGGTATTTTGATTTCTGCTACTGAACCATGGGAATGTATCTCTCCTTCTCCCTATTGGAAATATCTGTTTTCTCTTCCACTTCTTTTGCTCAGAAACATCTGCGCTTTCCCTCAAGTGCTTTTATTCTTGCTGCCAACCGACAGGTTCAATGACTTTGAAGCCTTTTTACCTTTTTTTTTTTTAAATGGCTTTTGTATGTTACTGAACTTAATGTTAGCAAATCATGAAGGTATTTTTTAATTAATACACTTCAGGATTAAGGTCAAGGTAGGTGGGCACCTGATACTTAAGAGTACCCTCAACTTTTCTTCTTTACAATGAGTGAATTTTTTTCTTATATCATCTATTCTGAAGATTTGGTTTATTACTTGAGATGTAACAGTTGAGGTATACACCTCAGTTGAGTAGTATATACTACCTCAGTGAGGTAGTATTAAGAATGTGTATGTAAAAGTATGCTTTTTATTTCTTTTCATAGCCTCTTTTAGAAAACAAACTTAAAGCATTCAGTATTGGAAAAATGAGTACAGCTAAGCGAACTTTAAGTAAGAAGGAGCAAGAAGAATTAAAGAAAAAGGTAATATTTAAAATATATTTTGGGTTATCTTTGGAAATAAATATATCTAAAGGGGGGAGTAAGTGGGCAGTTGAGAGCTGTTTTTCAGCGACTTTTGACTTCCAGGGTATTTTCAGCGGTCACCTTTAAGTCAAATCTAAAACATGAGGTAAAGTCAGAGGAGTCTAGCTTCTGTATTCCTGTGTCCTCCACCATTTTCTCTGCTGTGTAACAATTTTGATTATTTTCTGGTTGTTTCTTTTTTATAAGCAAACATGTACATGTAGATTGTACCTACTCCTTTCTTAGATGCATGGTAGCATGCTACATCTAGTATGCTTTTCTCCATCTTGCTTTTTTCACTTAACATTATATGTCAGATTACTGCAAGTATATTGGAATACTTATTTCTTTTAAATAGCTGTGTAGCTGATAATGCAGCAGTTCATTCAACTAAAATTCTACTGAGGGCATTTGTGTTTTGGTCTTTTGACATATCAAAGAGTGCTCTTATGAGTAGTATTATGCATATGGTGTTTTTGCTAGTGTATCATTGGGATATATTCCTGTAAGCGAGATTACTGGGTTGATGGTAAATAACATAAATGTAGCTCTGCTAGGTACTGTCAAATTGCTCTCAGTAAAGGCAGGGCCATTTTACATTCCTGTCAGCAATTTCTGAGAGGTGATTTCCCCATAGCCTGTTAACAGAAAAGGTCATCAAAGAAGTTTATGCCAATCTGCCAAGTGAAAATAGTATAGTTTTAAATTTGTATTTCTATTATAAATAAGGTAGGACAGCTTTTCTTGTGTTTGTTCTGTGAACTGTCTGCTCATAACTAAACTAATTCCATAAATTAGGTTATCTATTATTTTTAGGAACTCTTTGTATATTAGGTATATTAACATTTTGTGTATGATACAAGATGCAGTGTTTTGTTCCAGTTCATTGATTGTCTTTTTATTTTGTTTCTGGTGTTTTTCAGGTAGAAAGTATTTATTATGTGGTCAGATTTATCAGTCCTTCCATAGGGTTTCTGATTTTTTTATCAAGTTTTCCCCACTCCCAGCTTACAAAGGAATTTCCTAATTTTTTTCTAATAGTCATATGGTTTTATTTTTTTATTTATATTATTATTTTAATCTGCACCTAAGGATTGAACCCACAGTCTAGGGATGTGCCCTGACTGAGGATTGAACCCACAGACTTTTGGTGTACAGGACCATGCTTCAAGCACTTGAACCAACCAGCCAGGGCTGAGTTTTGTTTTTTAAAGTAAACCTGATACATTTGCATGTCTACTTGTGTGTAATATGAATAATTGGTTTGTTTTAAATTTTTTTTCAAATGTCTATCAAGGTATCCACCACCATCATTCATTGAAAAGTCCATGTATTCTTCACCGATTTACTCTTCAATAAATTTTGCATTTATTCAGTGCAAAATGTCCACATGTTATTGGATTTATTTCTGTATTTTTTATTCTGTTGCATTGGCCTTTCCAGTCATATATTTTTAGCACATTTAGTGTAGCTACAATGGAAATTGTCAAGGTTCTTAGCTTTTTTTAAATGCCAACTGCCTGAAGATAATCTGCTTCAGTTTCTAATATTTATGTCTTCAGTGGTTTGTGATGGAAATCTTTGTATTCACTGAATTAAATTATTGTGCCATGGAAACAATATAAACATTAATAGAATAATATATTTTTTATAGTCAGTTGTCATTAATCATTGAATTGTCTTTAAACAAAAAATGGGACCTTTCCTGGTCCCACCAATTGCCAGTAGAAGAGCAAAGCCTCTGCTAGTTTTATTGCTAATTAACTTTAATATCTATTAAGGATTAGCTGTTGCCCATTAGGACTCCTTACCCTGCTTTTCCCGGTGTGGGGAGAGGTTTCATTGACATTATTCCTTGAGGAGTTTAACCTGTAAATAATTTTTATATTGTGATATTATATTCATGTAAATTTAGGAAGATGAAAAGGCTGCTGCTGAGATTTATGAGGAATTTCTTGCTGCTTTTGAAGGAAGTGATGGTAATAAAGTGAAGACATTTGTTCGTGGAGGTGTTGTTAATGCAGCTAAAGGTAAGTGTGAATGTTATAGCCCTTGAGTACAAAAGCCTTGGATAAATGACTGCAGATAATTATCAAATAAGTTTGATGGCTTTTGCATTTAATGTTTCCTGTCTATCAGCACCCTCTAGTGGTGATATTAATTAGCAAACTTAAGTGGCTAAATATGGATTGAGAAATTGAAGCCAGATAAGTTTTTAAAGTATTTATTACCTCCCAAGTTTTTTTTCGAAAAGATTTTATTTATTTTTAGAGAAAGGGGAAGGGAGGGAGAGAAACATCATTCAGTTGCCTCTGGCTCTCGCCCAACCAGGGACCTGGCCAACAACCCAAGCATGTGCCCCCACCAGAAATTAACCGGTGACCTTTCAGTGTGCTGTACAGTGCCAAACCACTGAGCAAACCAGTCAGGGCTACCTTCCAAGTTTTAAGATAGTAGAATAGTCTCTAAAAATTTTAATATGTCATAGTTTTAATATAAAGTGGTTAAGTTAGTATTTTTGAGAGTAGGGTATTAATTGAACTTCATATTTGGTCAATAATGATTATCTTTGTACTAAGGCATTTTATTAAATGTTATTTTTAGATAAAAATAAAATCCAAATAATGTAAAATTAATACTGAAACTTAGTATTTTAAATTTCAGAAGAACATGAAACGGATGAAAAAAGAGGCAAAATCTATAAGCCATCTTCAAGATTTGCAGATCAAAAAAACCCTCCAAATCAGTCATCCAGTGAAAGACCTCCATCTCTTCTTGTGATAGAAACCAAAAAACCTGTAAGTCATACTTAAATAAGTGACCAAAAATGTTGTGATGGTGCTGCCAATGAATGATACTTTCAGTACTTCCACTGTAAGCAGGACTTTGGTTTCTTTTAAATTATTTTGGGAGTAGATGTTGAGTTTTAATGCTTAATCTTCCTAGATGAGAGAGAATAAATTAAAGTAGGACTTGCAGATAGGTAATAGTTTGTGCTCTTAGAGCAGTGGGCATTTGCTATTGCTATACTCATACTGCTATGACTGTATTTTACTCATAGCATATAGCATATGACAGTTTTTAGGTGTAATGTAAAATGGTAAGATTGTATTTTTAAACAATTCTGAACTGAGGTATTTAAATTATATCAGTATGTGTAGTGTTAGTTACTTTGGAAGCTAAATGTACTCCAACAGTGTGTATTGTACCTAGAACAGTTTTGAAATTTATTTGGAATTGCTATCAGACATTTTCTTCTAAGTGTTCTCAATGTTAGTAAAGTTTTTATTTTTTGAGGGTGAGGTTTTTATGAGGGAAGGTAGATAGATGTCATTTAGAATCAGGTTTGGTGAAGAAATACTACATTGAATAATGAGACTGATTTTTCTTATGTGACTTTTAAAGTAGCTCTAAAAGCAGTTTTTAAAAATAACAACAGCTTTATTGGTATATAATTTGTATACCATAAAATTCATCCTTATAAAGTACACAATTAAGTGATTTTTTTTTTTAGTATCTTTACTGTTGTGCAGCAACCATTGATCTCTAATTTCAGAACATTTTTATTATTTCATAAAGCAACCTAATGCCTGTTTTTAGTTATTGCCAATCTCTGGCAAGCACTAATCTACTTTCTTTCTCTTTGGGTTTGTCAGTTCTGGATATTTTATGCAAATTGAGTCATACAACATGTGACTTTTTGTGTCTGGCTTCTTAGCATAAAGTTTCAAGGTTCATCTGTATCAGCACTTCATTCCTTTTTGTGTTTGGATGATATTTCATATTATGGATATACCACATTGCTTATCTGTTTATCACTGGATGGACATTTGAGTTGTTTCCACATTTTGGCTATTACAGTAAAATAATGCTGCTATAAGTATTTGCATATAGGCTTTTGTGTGGACATATGTTTTTAATTCCTTTATATATACGTAAGAGTGGAGTTGCTGTGTCATGTGGTAACTATTTAACTTGTTTAGAAATTGCCAAAGTATTTTCCAAAATAGCGGTCCCACGATATAGTCCTATCAGCAATGTATGAAGGTTCCAGTTTTTCCATAATTCATCAATACTTGTTAAAGTTGTCTATTTTAAAAATTTATTAGCATCATGTTGGTGGGTTTGAAGTTGTACCTATTTGTGGTTTTGATTTACACTTCCCTAATGATGTTGAACATTTCTGATGTATGTTATCATCCATTTGTAGTCTTCTGTGCAAGTAAATGTCTTTTCAGATTCTTGGCTCATTTTTTAATTTGCCTGTTTATTTTTCGTTGGGTTGTAAGAATACACCTGCTGGAGTCAAGTTTCTTAACAGCTCTGATTTGCAGGTGTTTTCTCTCATTCTGTGGATTAGCTTTGCACTTCTTTATAGTGTCCTTTGAGCTACTAAAGTTTAATTTTGATGTTCAGTTTGTCAATATTTTTGTCACTTATGCTTTTGATGTCATGTCTAAGAAATTGTTGTGTAATTTAAGGTCAAGAAGGTTGACCTCTGCTTTTCTCTCAAGGTTTTTTAGGTTTTAGTTTCTACATTTAAATCTCTGAACTGTTTGAGTGAATTTTTATTATACTGGGGTGGACAAAAGTAGGTTTACAGTTGTATGTGAAACAGTTTATTCTTTTATTATTATTTATTAGTTATTGTATGACTTATTTGTATTACAACTGCAAATCTACTTTAGTCCACCTCGTATGGTGTGAAGTAAAGTTCCAATTTCATTTTTTTTTTGCATGTGGGTATTCAGTGGTCCTAGTACCTAGTACCATTTGTTAAAAAGACTTTCCTTCTCTTTTGAGTTACTTTGGCACTTTTAAGAAGTTATTCCAAAAGCAGTTTTCAGAGTAATTTTGTAAAAGAATTCCAAAGATGATATCTATTGCTTCAGTAATTATCCTTCCAAGGATATTGTTTTGACGGGTATTTTTGGTAGTTGTTAATGGCAGTTACTTTACATGGCAGTTCAGTCACTTTGTAAGTTCATTAATTTCACCCTGTGTTCCCTCCAACAGTAATATTCAGGCCTAAGTATTGCAGGCTTTGTGGGGGATAATGTTACACTCCTTTTAAGACTGCTGGTTGTTATTTTGTTTGTTTTTAAAATTGTTAAAATCTTAGTTTGAGAGAACAGGAAGGGAAACTGATAACAAAAACATTCATTCTTTCTAATTTACATAATTATTACATAATTGGCACTAAAATAAAAACTACTTTAAGTGACTATTGAACCATTAGTTTTGTTTACCCTTCCTTTGTTTGAAGTATAACTTGTCATATCCTTCATAGCCACTGAAGAAAGGGGAGAAAGAAAAGAAAAAAAGCAATTTGGAACTCTTCAAAGAAGAATTGAAACAGTAAGTTTTCTAGTGCTGAGAATAAGAGGTAAACTGAGCTGATACTTACAGATGGCAGGTATGAAGAATGGAGCATACCAGTTAGTATCCAATACTAACTGACTTACCATCAGGTGTTTTTTTAGATATTATAGAGGTATTTTGTGGGGTATATTTGAAAATATTAGCATTTTATCCAGCATCTAGTTTGCTTGTATTATGTGGATACAATTGAATTGATTAATGACCGGAGTCCTGTTTGCAGTGGAAACAATACAGTTACTGGAGTGTAGGGGTGAGGAATGGTCGAACTTAGCCAAGGAAAAACAAATTCTTGGTTTCAGTGTTGAATTTCTTTCTCACTTTAAAGGTGGGCTTTGTATTTCATTGATTGTATGATATATCAGAAACTTTCTCATAATTCTGTTATAGCTGAGGTACTCTGATTTTATTTGAAGATGATACTTGGATAGATTCTATTTTTATTAACTGTGAACAAATAAATTTTGGCTCATTATTAGTGATTGTAAATATTTTCAACAGAATTCAAGAAGAGCGCGATGAGAGACATAAAACAAAAGGCAGGTTAAGTCGATTTGAGCCACCTCAGTCAGATTCTGATGGTCAGCGGCGATCCAGTAAGTGACGTTGGTTTTAGTGTTTACATTTGTGACTAACCGTTCTGAAAACTGAGAATTGTTTTCTTTCTTTTAAAGTGGATGCGCCTTCAAGAAGAAATAGATCATCTGGTGGTAATACAGTTTTTTGCTTTTTTAATTAATAGAAATTACCCAGACATTGTATTTTTCAGGGTATAATTTTTTTTCTCTTTGCTTTAGTTCTTGATGACTATGCACCTGGGTCACATGATGTGGGAGATCCAAGCACTACTAATTTATACCTTGGAAACATCAATCCACAGGTAATATTGGAAAACTAAGATAAATGTTGGCTTACATGCTTTTATGCTTTTTGAAGAACACTGCTTTGTCAGTAAAATCGATAAAATCAAGAATCTGAAGTGAGCACATTTGATGGAACTAGAGTCTCTAAAGTTTTTTGCTGGTATGGGCTGAATTGTCTTGTGATACTTCTTGAGGGTTTGCCTCCTCTTTCTGTAACTGCACTGTACGTACTCTGAATTTGAACAGCTTTGCTAGGTGTTGCTTTTATTATCTGTCACGTGAGGATGTGGCCAATGGTGGATGGTATCTTTTGAAACTACCTCCTGCATCGCTTGCTTCCTTAATGGGTTTCCTTCACCTTCCTCCTCCTCCCACTCCATAATAACAAACCAGTATTTGTACTTTTTGTCTTTCATATTTTTAAAATGCTTTTCCCCATGTTAGTGTTAGTTGTGTTATGGGGAATGTCGTGTTTGCTATACATAGAATATTCTTTTAAATCTTTTAAAAATTTTTTTACATTTTTATTTCTATTGATTTTTGGGGAGGAGAAACATCGATTTGTTCTTCTACTTGTTTATGAATTCATTGGTTGCTTTTTGTATGTGCCATGACCAGAGATCAAACCTGCAACCTTGACGTATCGGGAGGATGCTCTAACCAGCTGAGTTACCTGGCCAAAGCTCATAGTATAGTGTTTTTAAAAAGCGTGTGTTTTTGGCCTTATTGCATATTTAGTGTTTTCTCTTTCCTTGATTACATTGATAGCTGAGTGCTGGAAAAAGAAAAGGTGATTAGATCCTGTTTTTTCTTTTAACTGCCAACAAGTACTTCCTTCTTAACTTAAATGTGGTCATTACTGCTACCTGAAAAAACATTGCTAAATGCTTAGAACAGATTTATTTGAGATGCAGGATCTGCAAAGGAGGAAGCGGAGAAGTAATGGTGTGCCACCCAGCCCTATCACCCTGGCTACTATTTTATATAAAACAGTGTGTTTCTTGTATGAAAAGATTTGTGAATGCCCCAATAGGACAGGATTTCATTTATGCAGAGGGCCTAGTACTTGAATGAGAAAATGTGGCATTAATATGTCTCTTCATTTTGCAGAAAGTACTTTGCTTTTTGTTGCACTGAATTCTTTTCTCTCTCTTTTTTACACACAAAAATTATGACTTTTGATAGATGAATGAAGAAATGTTATGCCAAGAATTTGGAAGATTTGGACCATTAGCCAGTGTGAAAATTATGTGGCCTAGGACTGATGAAGAAAGAGCAAGAGAGAGAAACTGTGGTTTTGTGGCCTTTATGAATAGAAGAGATGCTGAAAGAGCTTTAAAAAATTTAAATGGTAAAGTTATTATTTGTTTATAGAATTCAGACACTTTTTTTTTTAGTTTTGGAAAGTATTTATAAAAATCAGAAGGAAAAAAAGGACCAGACAGGGAAAGATAAAAATTAATTAAAATGGCAGAAATCTTGTATTTTCTTTTGTGAGTTATTGCCAAGGTAACTGCTCTTTTCTTTCTTGTAGGAAAGATGATTATGTCTTTTGAAATGAAGTTAGGTTGGGGTAAAGCTGTGCCTATTCCTCCACACCCAATATACATTCCGCCTTCTATGATGGAACATACGCTTCCCCCACCTCCATCAGGACTGCCTTTTAATGCACAGCCTAGAGAGCGGTTAAAAAACCCCAATGCTCCCATGTTACCGCCACCTAAAAACAAGGAGGATTTTGAGAAGGTAATTTTAAAAATGTACATAGGGCCGCATATATTTGTAAATACTAAATCTGTGGTAGTATTTCTTTTCAACAATTTTATAGAAAATGTGTAATTCTGTTTGGCAACTCTTAAGTAGATGTGTTCCCTGCCTTAGCCATGGAAACCCTGTTTGAAATACTAGGTCTTATTATTGTGGCTACCATTCCTTTTTGACCACTTATTAAGTTCTCCCTTCCCCATTTATCCACTGTTGTATCCTGGTTTGCTTAAGTATAGTATCTAAATTTACTTTGTTCTGAGAAAGTGATGATTTTGTACTTAGTTAAGTGACTTTTCAGTTAGAAAGACCTCCTAAATAGTTAAACTGTTTGGATGACAGCTAGCTAACTTAGTTCTCAAGATCATAGGTATTAGAATATTTGAGAGCAAATGTGGTTTTTAAAAAAACATTAACTCTAGTAAAAGCAAAGGGTATTTTTCTTTTTATTAAACATAAAACCAACTTAATTTCAAGTTATAAAGGATTTGTTGGTTGCATTATGAATTAATTAATTACACAAAATGTCAGGGCTGGTTTTAAAGGCTTGGGAACAAAGTAGCAAACTGTATTATGGTCAGAAGCAAACAGTTAATTATTTCACAAATTAAAATCTTTATCTGATAATTCTCAGTGTAGTACCTATTGCAGTGCATTGATGTGCATTCTGGCAGGAATGTTCTGATTCTTTGCATTTAGTGAACATTTATTGTTCACTGGACACATACATTTTGCTTTTATGTAATTGCTTAGTGTATAATTACTTCAAAAGCAGTGATTGCCTGCAAAACTTGTGAATAGATGTGTAGTATTTTCAATGCATATGTATATTTTTGCTTGTTACTTGTTAACAATACTCACATATTCTATGTTTATTATCTGATGTGACTTCATATACAGACTCTGTCGCAAGCCATAGTCAAAGTGGTTATCCCAACAGAAAGGTACATGTTTTTCTTTATTATTACTGATCTAAATATAGACAATATCCCCTTCTGAATTAAAAAAAAATGGTGTTGAGGAAAAGGTGATATCTTGACTGAGCAATGGTTCCTTCCCAGTACTTTTTTGGGGGATATTTGAAATTTAACTAACTTTAGTATACTGTGCAATTTTATGTCATTATCTGTTTTGTTTTTATTGTCACCATTGTAGGGAACTTTATAGCTTTTGTAGTGAGAATGTGTTTAATAGATATAATCTGGTGGTGTTAGTCTTACTCATATTAGATTATTGTGATGGGGAAATAAGGGTTTTAAATGTGTCTTAAATTTTAGATAATGTTATAGTTTGACCCAATCTGTTTTTTTTTCCTTTGTTTCTGAATTGTCTGTGTGTAATATGCAATCTTAGTCTAGTTTCCTTATTGAAGGCATAGCTTCGCTTTTTTCTGATTGATTAAGGAATTCCTGTTTTCATGAACACTGAACATATTTAGAAAGTTTTAAAAATGATAACAGGTGTTTGGAATCCTTTTATTTTCCTTCTTTTCCCAACATGATGTCGAAGCAGAAGAATTCATGCTGTAGGTATGCTCTTGCTCAGTCAAGCTAAGCCTTTTCCCAAACACAGGAACACAACACTGGTTGAATAATAAATGAACACAAAAGAATACCAAATTCTCTTTGACATTGGCCTTGGTGAGCAACACCAGCTGAACTGTCTGCGGCAGCGGGGGACCAGGAAAACATCATGGGATGGATTGGGAAAGTATACAGTTTTTGACCAGACATTGGTACGATCAACTCCAGTAAATGTGGTTTTATTATAACTGAGAAACAATTTTTTGTTGTTGTTGCCCAGAATAAGATAATTACCATTTTAAAATAAAATAGTGCACTTAAAATGTCACCTTTTTGTACTACACTGTTTCATTCTGGTAGAAAAGTCACCCTTTTTAAAATAAGAAACACACAATTCTTAAGGAAAAAGTGTGATAACATTTATTTAATAATGTTGAATTCAAGTTAGCAACAACTAATTGTCAGATTTTGATTTTAAGTAATTGTATGCAACATTTTAAAACTTCTTTTAAACTCTAAATTTTCTAAAAATAGATTTTATAGTTACAAGCCTGTTTAAAACTGTAGTGGGTTTTTTCTTCTACTGATAAATCACTCACAGGAAAATATTCTGTAGCATTCAGAAAGCATATATCAAGTAGTACCTTTACATGTGGCTCAGCTTCTTTCTGAACTAGATGTTGAGTACATTTTGCTAAAAAGTCTTGATTCACCATTAGAATGATTTCTTTAAAACTTGTTAAACCATTTTTCATCTATCTTTGATACCTAAATCAGATTGCTTTTGACTTAATTTCATGCAAGTTTCTGAATGTCTAGCAGTTATCCACCTAGAAATTGATTTTTGTATATTATAATACATAAAATTTCCCTTCACTTTAATATGACACATACCAGTGGGAGTTTTGCAGCTGAATCAACTTCACACTATGTCCCTTCCTTCAAAATAGTATCATTAACTATGGATCTGAGAATACATTCATTCTCATTTGGATATCAAGAACTGCAGATTTGCAGAGCAATTAATTCTGTAAAAGAAAAATAGTTTTTAGATTTAAAATTAATGTTTTTTAGCTTTTTGTTTTAATCATTTAAAATTGAATCACTAGTTCTTAAATGTATAGTTTCCCCTTTGTAAAGATTTAAACCTTCATAGAATTTTTTTGACCTCTTTAGGACCTTTTAGGTAGTCAAAAAATTTTTTTTTCACTATGTAGAGATTTTAGTGTCCACTTAAGTAGGTTTGTTTGAAAACTGTGAGAAAATAATTATAATCATCATGAGATAAACTATTTTACTGTTCATGTACTCTGAAGCAGGCATTCTACAGCCAAAAAAAAAAAAATCTGTCTTAGTCTATAACTCTATATTTATTTATATTCTAGCAGTTACATAAACTTAATTTCTTGATTTGAGCTGAGAATGCCAAAGGTGTAATTTAGTGTGTGCCTTGTATAAGAGCCAATATCCTTTTGCTTTTCCCAATTATTATTTGTCAACTCTATGCTGGGGAATTGGTGAAATGAAAAATTAAAAGCAGCTTATACTAAGTTGAGTCATTTTGCTTGACATTATTTTCTATGTCTAAAATTCTATTTGGAGTCTAAAAGGTATAATAAGGTTTTAGGACTCAGCTTCAGATTTTAAAAATAAAGGCTTTCTGTGAGCCTAACCCATAAAATAAATGTATTAAAAAGTTACTTGTTTATTTTTGGCTTAAATATGGAAAAGTAATTGTTATAAAAAATGTGAAGGGCATCCCACCACAGCCCTTATTTGGAAAATTTTGGAAAGAGGACTCCATTTAAGGCTGTGGCAATATAATTGCTTCATTGATTCATAATACACAGGCAAAATTATACATGTCATGAATTGTGTGAAGTAGTTTGAAGTGTGGTCCAAAGGGATGTTGCCTCATTAAAGGTCAGATTTAATGAAAACTCCATCTGCTATATGTGTACCAGAAAAATCACAGGAGTTAGATGGATTTTTTATTAGGTCAGGCCTTATATTTGTTAAATGGTTTTACATTTTTATAAATGATAGAGATGTATATAACATTTGAATACCACCAAAAAGGTGCTTGGTTTAGTAATATTTTCTTTTAAAAACTGAGATAGTGTATCAGATTTTAGATGACTATGATAACGTGTAAGCTCTAAGTTGCTGATACTACGTATTTGCAGCTTTCTAATTAGTTGTGATTCATAATTTAATGTTTTGCATTTGGAAAGTGAAATGAAGTGGCATTTAGAAAGTTAAATCTTTATTACTGTGAAGCTGTGTTGTGATTTCCTACCCTCCCTTCACCTTTCCTCCCCCTCCCCCTCCCTTTCCCCACTGTCCCACTCCCTCTTAATGCACAAGGCTCCAGAGTACTTGTTGGTATAAAATTCTCTATTAGTCAGCAGAATAATTTTTTCCTGCACAATATAGTAACTTAGTCAAGTGTAGTTTTATATAGTGGTAGGTCTGAATCCATTTTCTTTAACTTTGTTGTTGTTGTAGGAATTTGCTTGCCCTGATACATCGAATGATAGAGTTTGTTGTACGTGAAGGGCCAATGTTTGAAGCTATGATTATGAACAGAGAAATCAACAATCCCATGTTCAGGTGTGCATTTTTTTGAATGTGATAAAATACCCATATAAAATGTACCATTTTTATGTATCCAGTTCATGGTGTTACGTATGTTCACGTTGTTATGTAACCGTCACCACTGTCCATCTCCAGAACTTTTCTCATCTTCCACAACTGACACCTTGTACCGCTTAACCAATAACTCCCCATTCTTTTGATCCCTGGGTCCTGGCAGTCACCATTCTACCCTGTGTCTTTGAATTAAGTCACTCTGTGTACCTCATCTAAGTGGGATTATATAGTATTTGTGTTTTTGTGACTGATACATTTCACTCAGCGTAATGTCTTCAAGGGTCATCCATGTTGTAGCATTTGTCAAATTTCATAACTTTAAAGTTTGAAATATATTCCATAGCATGTATAGGCCATGTTTCATTTATCATCAGGCATGCCTTTTAAAAATACTTTTTGCTTCATTTTGGAATTAAAAATATTCCCAAGAGTACAGTTCTATAACTTTCAGGTTATTTTTGCAATGGGGTGAGAAGACAATTTTAATTAATTGGACTAGAATGATCTTTGGTCAGTTTTCCATCTTATTTTGGTTTAGTTAATTAAATAGCATTGTTTTTAGCATTTTGTAGGAGGAAAATACATTTCATTATTCCTTTAATGAAAGAGTCTTATAAGTGGGATACAGGAGAACAAACAAGATTTACAGGAAATTGCTTTTCTTCTGAATAGATATGCTATCTAAGATATTAAGTTAACATTTTCTTAAGTAGTTTAAAAACCTCTCTGAAATTATATCTTGGGAAAATATCTTCATTGTCAGACACAGTATCTGACACATGAGCATTCAATAGAATTATAAGACTCGGCAAGATACATGCATGCCTTTTTTAGTCATGAAGGCAGTCTGAAGCTGGGGTGAGGAAGGGCGCAGGTGGAACAGGGCACAGTAAGGATTTCTCTTCAGCAGTCTTTGGTTTTATTTAGAAGTCAGTAGGCAAATAATATTTCTCATCTGTTTATATTTACTTGAATACAGTTCTTTGTTAAAGAATATGATGTTTAATTTGTTTTATTTTAGATTCTTGTTTGAAAACCAGACACCAGCCCATGTTTACTATAGGTGGAAGCTTTACTCTATTCTGCAGGCAAGTAGAATCAATTACTTTGTTAATTTTGACTGAGATACTGGAGCTTTCTGATAACATTCTGAGTATTTATTAGGGAGATTCTCCAACTAAGTGGCGGACAGAAGACTTTCGTATGTTCAAAAATGGATCTTTTTGGAGGCCACCACCATTAAATCCATACCTGCACGGGATGTCAGAAGAGCAAGAAACAGAAGCTTTTGTAGAGGAGCCTAGTAAAAAGGGAGCACTTAAGGAAGAGTAAGATTGTTTTCCTTTCTTTTACATATTCAGAATAGTCTTTTTAATGGTTGCTTTAATTAATGGTCTTACTAGATGTTAACCTTAATTAAATTTTTTTAACTTCTTTAAATGGTAGCATCTCATTGTATACTTCGTAATTTTAAACCTCTTAGGAAGTATAAGTGTATGCTCTTTGGACCTTGATCTCTTCCTGCTGACAAAATTAGTGATGATCTTTTTAATCAGTGATTCTCTGGCAGTGGAATACTTCAGATTCTTACAGAAATCATCTCTAGAGTTTTAGAATTTTTGCCTCTGAGTGCAAACTAAAGAGGAAAACTTGTGGCTTAGTCAGTTCAGATGGTTGACTGTTTGAAGCCTCTACAGAGTTTGCAGAGTGGGGCCACCCTAGACACATAAGTTATTATTAGTGCTCAGTCAGCTCTGGTACAGTGCAGTTAACCCAGTTCAAGAAGCAGAAACATCTTTTTTCAAATGGCTGCTGAAGATGGCAGAGGCAGGTCTTCGCACTTGATGGCCAAGGCCACCTCCTGGGTGTCTAGTTGCCATTGTGGCCAAGCAGGTACTGCTGGGTGAGAAAGTGATGGTTGTGTGTAGTGAGGGCATCAGCATTTCTGGCAGTTTGTGTAGAAACAAGTTGAAGTACCTGGCCATTCTCTGCAAGTGGATGAACAACCCACCCCACAATCCTACCACCTCCCAGCTGCTAGTGGCATGTTTTGACAGACTTTCAGGCATGTGAAGTGAGACCAGGCTGCTCTGGCCTCCTCAAGATGTTTGATAGGATCCCTCCACCCAGTGACATGAAAAGTGAATGGTGGTTCCTGCTGCCCTTGCAGTTGGGCTTCTGAAGAGTACATGTAAGTTTGCCTACCCAGGACTCTGGCTCATGAGATATGCTGGAAGTACCAGGTAGTCACACCATTCCGGAGGAGAAAGAGGAAGGAGGGAGCCCAGATCCAGGAAAATTACTCTTCTTCATATAAGTTCTTCAAAAAATGTTACATATTTGGGGGACTTAACTACAAATCAGATTTAACACAATTTGATCATCAGAATTATTTTACTGTTTGGGTTTAATTTTTTTAAAGAATTTATTTTACTTATTTTTAGACAGAGGGGAAGGAAGGGAGAAAAAGAGGGGAGAAACATCAATGTGTGGTTGCTTCTCTCATCCCTCCTACCTGGGACCCGGCCTGTAATCCAGGCATGTGCCCTCAGTGCAAATCAAATCCTCAGCCCTTTGGTTCATAGGCAGGCACTCAATTCACTGATCCACACCAGCTGGGTACCGTGTGGTTTTAAAGAAAATTAGTTTATGAGTAAAATCTATAATGGCGTTTGAAATTTATATTTAAAAAATGTAATTTTACAAAATTTGTATTTAGACAGAGGGACAAATTAGAAGAAATCCTGCGGGGGTTAACTCCGAGGAAGAATGATATTGGAGATGCAATGGTTTTTTGTCTAAATAATGCTGAAGCTGCTGAAGAAATAGTGGATTGTATTACTGAGTCATTGTCCATCTTAAAGACACCCCTTCCCAAAAAGGTATGGGAATGATTTTTCTTTGTGGGACGTTCAATTAAGTAAAAGGGAGATAATAGTTAAATTTTTGAATTGAAATTGGTTTCCTTTTTACACGAAGAACTTGACTGAAGAGATCTTCCTATGCAGTTTTGTTGTATTAATTGACACACAAGTTATCAACAGGTTGAAATATAAATTATTTACAAATTTTATTCCTGCAAAATCATGGTTGTGGTGATGTTGAATTTCTTATAACTATTCTGATTAGTCTTGATTATTAAATTATAAATAATCATTAGCCTTATGACATTGATTCCAAAAAATTCAATATGAAAATTTTTTTGTAGATACATTGTTTGCTCATGGATTTCATTTTTAATTGGTTTTATGTTATCTTTTGATATTCTAGATTGCTAGATTATATTTGGTTTCTGATGTTTTGTACAACTCCTCAGCAAAAGTTGCCAATGCTTCATATTATAGAAAATTGTAAGTATAATATTATAAAGTGATATTCCTGAAATTATTTAAGGGTAAGGAGTTCAGAAGAGAGGATTGTTTTGTTGACACTCCAACAATAAGAAATAATTAACATTTCTCCATAGGCATAGGATTTTCTAAAAAAAAATTGTATTATATTCCTTGAACTAAATGAATTTAAAATAGTAGTAACTCTGTTTTTATTGAATGTCTAGCCACTTGTATAATAAATAAGCTGAAACAATATAAATAATAGCAAACATAAAGGAAGAGACAAGGACAAAGCATTAACTATAGAATATGTTTTCTTCTGATCGTCATTGCATTGTTGTAGTTCATTGCTAATGTTTCCCTAAAAGACGGTCGGAAATTATGTTGCTCTACTGTAATTAACACATAACTCTGCTGTAGTTCCCCAGAGTTCCTTTTTGGTGTTTGTTTTATGAATTAAGGAAATTTTTCTCTAGCAGTTGACTATGAAAGGAAATTTGGAGGTGTGGATTCTAATCTTAGCTCTGCTATTTTTTTGCCTTGGAAAAGTCATTTAACTTTTGTTTCCTTCTTTATAAAACAAAAAGAGATCAGACTAAATGGCTAAAAGCGTCCTAGATGTAGTTTCTTATTATTAATCCAGGGAACTACTACTTAAGACTCTTGGGGGTTTGGTAGGAGAAAAATTTAGAATTATAGGAGTTAAAGCAGTTCAAATGCAATTTTAGAATTGGTTCGTTCTTGATTTTCTTAAAAAAGATTTCTGAATTTACTTTTAAGTTTATTTTTTTTTCAAGTCCAGGAGGGGTTTGACTAGCATGCCAATGTAAATAGGGATTTTTGAACAAATTCTATTGTAAAGAATATATTATTTCAATTTCAGTTTTGAAACAAAGTTATGTCAGATATTTTCAGACCTCAATGCTACCTATCGTACCATTCAAGGCCATTTACAGTCTGAAAACTTTAAGGTATGTTTCACTGTTTCATTATTTTTACCTTAGTGTTGTATATAGGGGTGAGGGCCAGGAAGCACCTTGGAGGGCTAGGAAAGTAAGTACATATGACAAGTATAAAACATAATTTAGATGTTCCAGAAATTATTTTAAAATTTACTGCACTGTTACTTTCATTATCAAAAAACAGCTGAAATTTAAAAGTATGTTATCTAGTATTATTTTGCTGAGTGCTTGTTTTAGTTATATAAGTGTTTTATTTAAATAGAATATTAATCTTTCCTTTTCTCAAAACACATTCAGAAGATCACTTGTTTTATAATGGCATACGGTAATGAACCACATAATGGTGCCAGTGGTTCTATAAGATTGTAACGGAGCTGGAAAATTCCTAGTCTAGTGACATTGTACCCATCGTAACGTCGTAGTGCAGTGCATTTTCACGTGTTTATAATGATGCTGGTGTAAACCAACCTACTTTGCTGTCAGTCATACAAAAATACGGTCCATACATACAATTAGTATAATCCATAGTACTTGATAAGAAACGACTGTGTTAGTGGTTATGTATTTACTATACTTTTACTGTTATTTTAAAGTGTACTCTTTATTAAAAAAAGTTTGCTGTGAAATAGTATGTTGTATTATCTGGCAGCAGCAACCTCATAAATCTCTTGAATATCATTTTCTCTTGTGCTTGACTTAATCTCATGTTTTGTGCAGTATCATGCTGTACAGGCTTGTAGCCCAGGAGCAGTAGGCTGTACCATAGAGCCAAGGTGTGTAGTAGTTGTATTATCCAGGCATGTGTGTACACTGTATGATGTTCACACAGTGATGGAATTGCCTAATGATGCATTTCTCAGGGTGTATCCCTGTTATTAAGCAGTCCACGACTTGTATAATTTGGATTAGGAACATACATTTTAGTTATTCATATTTATAAATATATGCATTATTGTTTTTTGTAATGTTAAGTTGCAGACCAATGTTAAGAAAAACCAAACAAAACCTTATAATTGAATAAATAGATACACTTTCATGGTAAGAAGATTTTTGTAAGCAAATTGTTTAGTTTGTGAAGATGCCCAATGATCCCATCATTTAGGGACTCAACATGTGTTGACTTTAATATTGCCCATAAGTAGAGTTTATGTGGAAAGGCTTAGAGGTGGGCCAGAAGAAAAGTATTAGAATTAGGAAGTACTTCATTAGATCATAAAGAAATTTGGGTCAAAACTTGCCTACTTTACTGTCCAGCTTTTACAAGTTTCTAAGATATTGAATGGTCCCAGAATGTGGCCTTATATGGACCACTAGTATATATGGGACATTGGTCTTAGTGATCAAGGGCAAATAGTAACTGTTTCTTTTTCATTACATTTACTTTGAGGGTTTTTTTTTTTTAAATTAAAGTGTGGCATTGATTTGTTAAAAACATGGCAATGATAGTTTTTTCCTTTAAATTTTAAAAATGTTGGTTTAAAGAAAAATTTAGCAAATTGTGGTGTTCATTTTCATGTGATAAAGTTTGAGACATATTGTCCTAAATAATAATTCATTGTCTTTTTCTTATTTATTTAGCAACGGGTAATGACATGCTTTAGAGCATGGGAAGACTGGGCAATTTATCCAGAACCATTTTTGATCAAACTACAAAATATTTTCTTAGGACTTGTAAATATTATTGAAGAAAAGGAAACAGAGGTAGGCACTTAGTGTATCTGTCTGATTATTTATTTATTGATTTGAGAGAGAGGAGAGAAGAGGGGTAGAGAGAAAAGATAGATTTGTTGTTCTACTTTTCTGCATTCATTAGTTGATACTTGTATATGTCCTGACCAGGGATCAAAGCTGCAACCTTGGTGTTATCAGGACAATGCTCCAACCAACCTGGCCAGGGCCTTGTCTGATTATTTAAAAACTTATTTCTGGGGATGCCTTGGAGGTGTGATATGTTAGAGATGTAGCATTTCTTTGTGAAAATATTTGTTCTTCACCACTAAATAGTGGATTTTGTTGCTGGAATTGCAAGAACCCAGGAGTTGAGATTATACGTAACAGGAATTCTCTGTTTTGTGTCCTTAATGTGAAAATTGGTGACTGGTTTTTTATTTGAGGACGTGAAAATACTTTAGTAGGAAAAAAGTGAGTAATAGAGCAATATATATGGTACAATTTCACTTTGTTAGACTAAAGATAGCTATATAATAATAATGAAAAGATCGCTACATCTTTTCGCTAATAATAATGAAAAGATCGCTAAATGAAAAGATGTACCACAATGATAGTGGATTCTATTCATCACCATTTTGTGCTTTTTACCTCCTCAGTAGTTCTTGAATCCTTCATCTTTATTTCTGTAATTATAATCCAGTGATATGATATAATTCTATCATATTTCCCCTTTCATTCTTACAAGATCCTCCTAATTGGCCTCCATGCTGCTCCAACCACATGGTCCTTGTTTCAATTTCTTAAATATACAGTGTCTCCTCCTACCATAGACCTTTGTACATGTTTCCCCACTCTTTCTAGGACATCTTTTCTGTACCTGAGATCTTCAGACCTGAATTTAAGTATAACTTCATAGTTTCTTCTCTAACCTCTGTAGGTGAAACCTACTTCTCATTTATGCCTACTTACTACATACCTTAACAGACTGATATCCTGTGATATCAGTAGTATCCTCCTTGTTATAGCAGTCACCCTAGTTGCAGTCATATGTGAACTGTTGGATTATCTGCTTGGCTCCCCTCTCCTCCCTCCCAAATTCTAAGCTCTATGACAGAAGGGACCAAGGGACCAGGCATGTTTTTACTCACTGTTGTATCCGCAGAGCCTCTCATGGTGCGTGGCATCAGTAAGCCCTTGGTAAATATTTGATAAATAATGCACAAATGACTGCTGCTGCTTTGTCAGACTGAATGATAAAATATATTATTATGTCCTCACATTGGACCTGGGCATATGGGTATCTAGTTGGTTGGTTTGTACTGGGTTGCAGATTAATCTTTAGAAATACGACTTCAGCAAGGTAAAATGTTACAGTACTATAGTATGTGTTTCCACAGGATGTACCAGATGACCTTGATGGTGCCCCTATTGAGGAAGAGCTTGATGGTGCACCTTTAGAAGATGTGGATGGAATTCCTATTGATGCTGCTCCCATTGATGATCTTGATGGAGTCCCTATAAAGAATTTTGATGATGATCTTGATGGAGTACCTTGTAAGTTCAGATTTCAGACTGATTAAATCTAGCTAATACATTTGATTCTAAAACTTTAATTTCCACACAAGCTGATAATGGAAAAAGGTTATAATTTCTGCTTAAGGTGTCAGACATTAACTTTTTTCTGTTTCTTATTTCTGCCTTTTCAAAATTCATATAGCCAGTAATACAATTAACTGTGCTAAGAAGGTTTTCTTGTCACATTTCTTTGTTTGGACAGTTAGCCTTTTATATGAGCAAATTTTCCCTTTTGTCTTAATTGTCAGGAAACTATAGGTAGAATTTTGTGCTCATTGTTTTAATAAACTCAGGTGCCTGCTCTGATCAGTTCTGTTTTTATTATATTCCTAACTAATATGTTCAGTTTTCCTAGCTGCCTAAAATCAGTTTTAGAAATAAGAATTATACATAATCATCATTATATTTGAATTATGTTAAGATATTGAACAGTTTCTGAAATCTATGGTTTAAATCAAAATTAAGTAAAGGTATCAAATATTATTTTACGTTCTTCTCCATTTGTTTGAAATAATAATAACCTGTGTGTTCTGAGTTGATTTATATACTATTTAAAAATTGAGTTTCAGATGCAGAGAATTAGATTAGTCATAATCCTTGTTTTTGGCACTCAAGTTATTGTAGGTTCATGTGTGGCCTTATTTTACTTTTTAATAGTACAGTGTGGCAGTTTCCAGCTCTTTCATCTCATGGCACGCAGAAACCAATTACTAAAATTCTGGGGAACACCAAAGACCAAAAAAATAGGCGTAATTTTGATTCATTCACACTGGACAGCTATTATTGTTTGTTGGCTGTTGCCATTTTTTAATTTTGCAATCTAAGGGAAAAGAGGTCAGTGCCTCTAAATAGTCAGGTATTATTGCATGTTTTTAAAAATTTTGGGACACACCAGTTGAAATTGCTGTTACACTAAACACAGACTCTAGAAGTTAGGGTTATCCCCTAGAAGTTAGGGTTAATGGCTTATCTTTCCTCAATAGTGGATGCGACTGAAGACTCAAAGAAGAATGAGCCTATATTTAAGGTTGCCCCTTCAAAGTGGGAAGCTGTAGATGAATCTGAATTGGAAGCACAGGGTGAGTAAAATCAAATACTGAGCTTTAGAAAACTCAGTACTTGAGTATGTTTGTGTGTGTTTTCCTTTTGTGTTTTACAAAGTTTCAACCTTAAGACCCAGTGTTACCATATTTTATGTCTAGTGGCTAAGTTTTCATTGTGGTGCTTTGTTATTATTCCTTTGGATCTTTTGGTTTTTATGCTTTGAGAGTAATTAGAGAAATCACTAAAACCTTTCAGGTTAAGGCATTTCAGTAGAAAATGTAGAGGGAGACTATTTGTAAATTTACGTAGAGGTGAGTTTCAGGGAAACTAAGCTTTGACCCTCCCATAGTGCTTATTCTAATCTGTCTTTCCTACTTGCTTGGACATGTATCCTAGTGCTCATAATGTTATTATTTGTAGGTTCTAATGAAATAAATTTTAATCATCCAGCACAGAAATAAGAACAACAATATTTGTCACTTCATGAATGTGAATAAAGTTATGGTGTATGTGTGAGGAGGAAAGAAATAGATTTAGCATAGAAATGGCCATTCCGAAAGAATAGATAAAGGTAGATAACCTCTGTAATATAAAATTTCAGTTCTAAAGCTGGGTTTCTACTGTGCTTCTGCAAAAATGCTAGTTTACCTTATGGAATTACAGCTTTTTTTCCCTTCTATTCAGCTGTAACAACTTCTAAATGGGAGTTATTTGACCAGCATGAAGAATCAGAAGAAGAAGAAAATCAAAAGTAAGAATCTGAGTTTTGAATATACCTAGCTTCTTACTGCATATGTGTTCCCTTTTTCATTAAAAGGTACTTGAAATAATAGTGAAGAGGGAAACTTCACTGTTAAAAAAACTTACAAGGATCATTTTTAGTTCTCCATTGTTTTTCCAGTGAATAAAGAGCGTTAGATTTCTGGTCTTGCTACATCTGGTTACGCTTTGCTTTTGAGTTCAGGTATTACATTCTCACTTTGTAGTTCTTAAACAGTCACCTGTATTTATTTTAAATCTTTATTTTGGCTTCAGAGAAAGTGATTATTAAGATGTGAATGGCAAGGTTATACATCTTTTCTTTTGGATTGTACATTGCTGGAAAAATGCATATTGCATTGAGATCATTCCTTTATTTAAATGTAAAAACCTCAAAAGAACTAAGATTAAAAGGAAAAGATGTTTTCCTTTGATGTATTAAGAAATTATAACTTTGAATTTTGCTCTTTGGTAATCACCAAAAAATTGTTTTTTGCATTTAACACCAAATGTAATTATAGGAATCCCTGCTCTCAGTTCTCCTGGAAGTTTATATTACTAGTTCTTAGATAGTACTTGACACCTTTATAAATCATTGCAAAGGAAGTTAGTATTTTTAAATAGGAAAAGAGGTGGCATCAAGAGCACAAAGCAGAGGTTTCCCGTTTTTTAACATCTTTTTCCTTTTATTGCTCTCAAATGGAAGAGTGAACAAAAGGACCTTTGTGTCCCAGCAGGATTTGGGCATAATGTGGATTCAGTAGATGGGTATTAGTACCATTTACATTGTTAAGGAAATATGATGATCAGTATTTGTGGAAACACAGTTTGATATGATGAGGAAAAGTTAGCAGTAATTTCCATAAACATCAGTGTGATTAGAACAAGTCAGCAATGGTTATGACAGAATATCTACAAAATACAGATGTGGTTTGCTGATGGAAATAGCTGTTTGAGGCTGTTTAGGAGTATAGGAATTGGGAACAGTTCAGTTTGCTGTAAAACGCTTTTATAGCTATAATCCCATTAATTAGAAACACCTTACCACTGTGGAATCATTGCTTTAAGAACCAGTATGTGTACTCATAAAAAGAGTATTTAATTTAGGGGAAAGTAAGGGTGGAAAAGCTATTGCAGAGCTCAATACAAAGTAAAGAAAAAATGTTTTTCACATACAACTTTCTGATCCTTGAAATTTTCCTGTGTCTCACTACTGCTCTCTAGTGGCTGAGTCCAAAATGCCTTTTTACTAAGGAACTGCTTTTTGCACAAGTAATTACTGTATTGTGACAGAAATGTGATTTTTATAAAGTATATGGCATCACCAGTGTTTTAGAGAAAAATTCCAAATAGTAATATAACATAAATTGTAATGAATTCTGTATGTGTTTAGTGTCTTGAATTCCCATTTCTTTAAAGAAGAGCAAGGTGAAGCTGTGATGAGATCTGAACCTTAAATTTGTACCATAAGAACTGAACTCAAAACCAGTTAGAATACATTGCTTGAGCCTTGAAAAATTAAAATAGCAATTGTAAAATATTATATATTTAAAATTATTGAAGTGTAGTGTAGCTCATTTAATGTCTTAATAATATGGTTAATGTTTAATGTCAGGTCATCTAGATCCTTTCTCTTATATACAAAAACATGCACATCTATTTTAAACATAAATTATACAATACTGCACATAATATTTCTGACCTATTTGTCACTCTAGTGTCATGGGTATTATTTCATGTCAGTGTGCATATTTGTGTGCTCTGTAGTTCAGAAGCAGTTACTCAGATGAGTGCATAAGAAAGTTTACCAAGGGATATTTGAAGTTGCTAAAAAAAAAATTAACAAACGTAAATAACAGATTGGAATTTAAACATTTCCATTACATAGATACCAGAAATCAATTTATTGTGTCATGTCCTTACTGATTGACCCTTTCTGGAGTAATCCTTCAATAAACATCTGTATTTTATGCACACACACAGAGTTTAACCTTTTAGACAAGATTGGGAGTGTTTAGGGTGGTATGGCCATAGACAATTTAACCTTTTAAAAGCATCCAAAATACTCGTAAAAATTTTAGGCACCACAAAACAAGAAATTCTTGTTTTAAATGTTAACTTAAAAATGCATTTAGAAAATTTCTGACAAATTAATTGGAAATATTGAAAGGTTTATTTTAAAAATAATAGGTTTTTTAATAGTTGGTTTTGACTTTTTTCTTTAAATATTGTATTGAGTTGTGTCTTTATGTGATATTAATGATTTGTGGACTCTAAGGGTATTAAATTTATAAAGCATTTTAGTTATGTTCTGGAAAAGACCTTTGGATGAGAAATTAAAAAGCTAGTCTTCTCTTAGTATCTTGTTTTTTCTGATTCTAAATTGCCAGTACTTTATTTTTATCTGCCTTGCTTAAATTTTTCTCATTCAGTGTGAAAGTCTTATCAGATTCTAAAATAATTAAATTTTTATTTGGAAAGAATTTGTTTATACCGTCTTCCTGTTATTACAGACAGTTTTGTTTATGTACTAAAAAGACTCCCACTTATAGTAGAATGTATTTAGTACCCAAATACCCACGTATAAGGGCCTCTCAGGCTCAAGTGCTAAAGAGAAAGGGCGTATTTACTAGGTTGAGCCAGCAATATTAGTATTACAATGTTGCTTATTAGGAACTTGGGTTATATATATATAAACATTCTGAGTTTGTTTGGGTTTGGATGACTTGATTTGCCCAGAGTTACCATATACACATACAAAGTCCAGTCCCAGTATACACAACTCCTTTTTTTTAAGCCCCTCATTTTTTGTGTGCTTAGAGAACATTTTCTAAATCTTACTCTTAACAGTGGTGACCAGCTTTCCACATAGTGCTTCTCGTCTGTTTCAACTAGATTGCTTCTGGTTCTTCTTTGTATCCCTTCCCATGGTAGTCACTCCGTCATTTTCTTCCTATCCAGTGGAACCAGCACAACTTTCAGAATCATTAGTGTGTGGCAGTATTTAAAATGGTTTCCTTATTCCTAGGGTTATATGCTAATCAAATAAGGTCTTTGCATGCTGCATCATTTCATAGTAACTTTATGTTCCTCAAACTCATGTATTCTCGCTTATTGGTTCTGTTGAAGGAAGGGTAAACATTAAGCTGAATGAAATCACTCTGAACTGTGATTTTATTTAGCTGCTGCAAGGAAAGCTTGTTGTAGAATGAAAGGCACACCTAACATAAGCACAGTTTTTTAAAGTGTGTTTTATATTGAAGCCCCAACTTTTTCTGTGGAGAAAATGTAAGTTTCATAAAGTTATCTCTATTGCTTGATCAGATATTTTGTAAAAAATGTTTTGGTGAATAGCGTCTTCTTATGTTTTGTTAATGTTATTTAACCTCTAAGGTGGTTTAAGCCAGACTGTAATACACACTTTTTTTTCCCTGCCTTGACATGCATTGTATTCTGCTTACTTCCAAAGTCAAGAAGAAGAAAGTGAAGATGAAGAAGATACTCAAAGTAGCAAATCTGAAGAACATCATTTGTACTCTAATCCAATCAAAGAAGAAATGACTGAGTCCAAGTTCTCTAAGTACTCTGAAATGAGTGAGGAAAAACGAGCTAAACTTCGTGAAATCGAGGTTAGTATTGCAGTGACACTTAAACTACACTGACCTTTCTTTTCTTTTACTGAACTAGGCTTCCTCTTGGAGTCACACCTTGGTACATCCTGTTCCCTCTCTGCCTAGAAACCATTATCCTCTCTGCCTAGAAACCACTATAACAGCTGACTTCCTTCAGGCCTCTTTGTGCAAGCATCCCTTCTCTTCCTGTATCCTTTTCCTTACTCTTCTGGATTTTCTTACTTCTCCTTGTTTATTTCTGTTGTGATTTTACATGTATTATGATTGTATATTATGTTTTATAGGGTTTTTTTTATTGCTTGTTTGTTTGCTTAATGTCTGTATTCCGCAGTAGGCTGTGATATCCACCAGAGGAAAGGGCCATGTCTATTTTCTTTTTATCATTGGATCTCTAGTGCCTGGCACATAGGAGATCCTCTGAATCGATTATATCTGGCATTATGAGGTCCATTACAGTTTGAATATATGTAGTATATAACTAAGAAAAGTAAGACATTTTCTGGCATGTTCAAGTTGTATACATTTTATTATAGTAGGCAATTTTTTTAGTATGTATGTACTGTTAGTGATAAGGGGAGAGTAAACATTAAGTGGGGCTTAACAATAAGGAGGAGAAAAACTTATGGGAGAGTCCAGACTATCTCCAGCAAACTTTTCCCTCTTTCTATCCCCTCCTTTTTTCATGCCTCTATTTATTACCAAGGATTTTCAGACATGTTGGAGTGAGAAGAGTTTTATAACGAGAACTTCCTGTTCCTTACCCTAAGGTGATGAAACAGTCCCAGTAAATGTCAGCAGTAGTGTCGCAGTCAGTCCATAATTGAAAATGTGCACATTAGTGATTTTAATGCTCTGTCCATTCCTGTAAGAGGTTTTTTTTTTTTGAATACCCAGTCTGCGTCGGTGTTATTCCTCTTACTCACTAATAACATCTTAACATTGGTTACCTTATTTCCACTTCTCACCTATTCACCGTTGGGCTGTTACAAGTTCTTGTCCACCTTCCTCAGATATCACCAAGCCAAAAAGTTAACAGAAGGCATTTTGTTTTAACCTTACACAGAATCATATGATGTCAATTATAAGTTTAGAGGATGGATTTCAAAGTTAAGTTGATTCATTTTTCCTGGGCTGTATCAGTTACACCCTTCATGGAATTTGTAACTCAGAACTCCTCCCAGCTTTAGTGAACTCTGCCCTACTGACCTGTGGAATTAATTGGAGTAGAAACAAAGACCAAGTTAACTAAAGATGTGTTTTCTTTATAATTGAAGTGACATTTTGATAATGAAAAATGTCAAAACAACTGATTGTTCTCAAATGTTTTCTTTATTGGTATGAAGAGAAGAAAAGTATAATTTAGCTCTTTTGCTTATCTGGGTGGTTTTTATGAACGTTATTTTCACACTATTTGTATTTTTGTGATGTGTGCACACACCCCTTAGTATACACATTTTCACACTTTGTGTTCTTTGACCATCCAGCCTCTCCTTTCTTTGCTAGACACACGACAGTCGTTTCCTTTGCTCTTGTAATACTTACCTTCACAACTTAACTCTTAACCAAATTCTAATTTTTAAATGAAGATCTTTGGAGAATCAGATACCAAATTCGTTGTCCTTGTGTTTAGATAATAAGTTCTTAAGGGCGTGAACCACAGCCCGGGCTTTAGAGCCATCTCACACTGCGGTGCTGAGTATGTGGGTCTGAGCCCGATTGCTGGAACGCTGCAGAATTTGGCTTGTCTGACAAGTGGCTTTCACATAAGGGAGTTTTGTGTTGATGTTATATTCGGACCGAGTATTTATCAGTTGCTACCTTGCTATAGTTAATGTTTTTTTCTTTTTACACACTTTTTCAAATAAAAGACATTTTTTAAATTGAATTTATTGGAGTACAGGTTTCAAATATACAACTCAATAAAACATCATTTTCACACTGTGTCCTGGGCCCATTGCCCCAAGCAAAGTCTTCTTCCATCCCCATTTTCCTCCCTTTGTCCACCATCACCTGTCCCCACCCCTCTTCCCCTCAGGCCATTACCACACTGTTCCCTCTGTGTTGTCTGTGTCTCCGGGCTCCGTGTGTATGTTGTTTTTACTTAACCCATTCACATTCTTTCATAAAGGCGCCCCCCCCACCAGCTGTCCATCTGTTCCAGGTGTTCCTGCCTCGGTTTCTGTTTGGTTTGTCAGTTTATTTTGTTCATTAGAGTCTAACATATAAGTGAGGTCAGATGGCAAAGCAGTACTTGAAAAACTAGAGTATTGAAAAACATTCATCTCTTACCTCACAGCTCAAAGTGATGAAGTTTCAGGATGAATTGGAATCTGGAAAAAGACCCAAGAAACCAGGCCAGAGCTTTCAGGAGCAAGTAGAACACTACAGAGATAAACTGCTACAACGAGTAAGGACTAAATATCAATCACATGTGTTTTCTAAAGTTAACTGGTTTGACTACCTACAGTATTGGTATATTGGTGTATTAAGGAAAAATATATTTCAAATTACATCCTTGGATGTGTAAATAACTGAATACTGGTAGATAATTAAGAACATGTGAAGTTTGATGTATCACAGTTATTTCAACTTGGAAAAGTGTTAGGCCATAGCATAATGTTTTATTGTAAGTACTACCTGTAAACAAGAAAATCCTGCTGGGAGTATGGTTTGACACTGGAAGACCTTGTAGGAAGAGTGTTTGTGACAGTGAGACACCAGCAAACATGAGAAGTGGCATAGAGACAAAAAGGTGGAAGTTGTGGTCAAGAAAGCTCACTTAGGACTCCTTTCTGTTATTTTCAAGGAGGGATAGCAAGTGGCAGCCTACTTCATTAGTGAACTCTAAACTTTTGAGGAACCTGAAACTCTCGTACATTTAAAAATCTGTAGGGGTACGTAGGATTTTAGTACAACCCATGTGATAATTATTGAGAGAACCCAGGAATTTTATTGTGGCAGCTATATCTTGACTTAAATAAAAAAAGATGATACAGAAAGAGAAGTAGGAAAAAGCTAGAAGGGAGACTGTCACGACAGAGCTGTTAACGGTGTGGGACTGGTGTTGGGAGCAGTAGCATGGTGACGCACCTTTGGCGCTGCAGTGTCCTGTGGGCTCCTGGGACCACTCTGCTGTGCGCTTGTGCAGCTTGCTTTTTCTCTGTGAAACTGGGTTGATTTTGCAGTCTCAAATTTGCAGGATTGTGAGTTAGATAATAGCTACTGTTATGTTTCATTATTGAATAAAAATGCTTATAATATTTTAAGTATTTTAACTATAGTTTGATTTCTATAAATTTTCAATGAGTCAATACATCCACACATCACCAGAGGAAGTTAGTCCCCTCAGCATCAGTTTAAATTTGTACTCTACGTTATGTATTTTGAATAAAGCTAAATGAGATTTGTTTAAAGATGCTGTGTATCTGCACGAATCTCTTAGTAAATGGTGGCACATGTTGATCTTTATGGGAGACTTTACTTCAGGAAGCTGGCTGACCCTGATGGCACTGCTACCCAAATGACCAGTTTAGTCCTCCTGCATTCCAGATTGCAGTGGGGAAGGGGGCTGTGTTTCTGGAAGGTGTCTGCGAGGAGTCAGCAGACTGTGGCCATAACCTAGTTTTTGTAGATACACTTAACAGATCACAGCCATTCTCCAGTGGGAAAGATGAATACTTTTGACAGTAACTGTATGGCCCACAAAGCAGAAAATATTGACTATATGGCTCTTTGCAGGAAACACTTGCCAATATCTGATAGAGGTTTCTTACCAGCTCTCAGATACTTTCTTGATACATACAAGTCAGAGAAATTAAATTCCTTTTAGTGAAGATCTGAGTTGGCTCTGTGGGATCATTGTCTGTAGCCACTCCTTTAATTGTATAATGAACAGAAATTATAGTTTCAAGTGAGAAGTGGCAGTTGTAGCATCTGAGGATAAGGAAATAAGTTTTTTTTTTCTGTTAATACAGTTGTATGGTCACATAGTCAGTTTTTAATAACATAAAGTAGGATTTAAAATTTCCAATTCAGTTTCAACTTGTCTCTCACTAATAAGATTTTCTGATGGATGATTATTGTAATTAGCTGTTTCTACTTTTCAGTGTATTGCTTTGGTAATAGCTCTCTTTTGATTCAATCAATTTGCTGTACAATTAGCAGTGCTCCCATTTTATTGGAATCTAAGATGGCAAGGTCAGTGTATTGTTAGTTTTTTTTTCCACTTTCTCCATAGAGGGAGAGGCAGCACTGTACAGGTAGAAGTTATGAGCCTTAGCTCTAGAGGTTGAGCTCTAACCCAGGCCTCATTCTGTGTGACCATGGGCATGGTACTTAACCTTTCTGAGGCTCAATTTTCATCTCTAGAACTAGCATGAAAGTGCTGTTCCTATGGGTGTTTTGAAAGGAATACATGAAATGGTATATGGAAAGTCGTTTGGTAATTGCCTGGCCTATGGTAAGCACTTGGTAAATATTTAGCAGCTGTCTCTGGTATCACTCTTAATATGCAAGGTAAGTAGAAGAGATGAGTATTTCTGAAAGAGTAGGAAGTATTTTTTTAAATGGTATTGTACATTCAGTAGTAATTTAAAATTAGTTAAGTATAATAGAAGATAAGGTATTATGTAAATGAGATCAACCCAGATTAGTATTTTTTAATGACTTAAGTATTCTTTAAAAAAAAAAAAAACAGGAGAAAGAGAAAGAATTAGAAAGAGAACGAGAAAGAGATAAGAAGGATAAAGAAAAATTGGAATCTCGCTCCAAAGACAAGAAGGAAAAAGATGAGTGTACTCCAACAAGGAAAGAAAGGTATGACATTTCTCATTTGATACCTGTACTGGTTTTAGGATTTAGAGTGATGTTCCATTTTGTAATATTTTCATCACCAATTCCAACAAACTGGAAAACTATTTTTTCACAATCAACATGTTTGGCTCCTACTTACAGGAAGCAGAATTAGCTGAGAAATGGGACATTTAGCTGGCACTTGGCTTAGGTAACTGGAACATCATCCTTTTATCCCCTTACATGGTTTATAGTGAACCTTAACTAAGAGTTCAGTTACCATATTAGGTATCAAACATAAGGCTTCAATTACTAAACAGCTTTGCTGCATCTTTCTTGTGCTTCCAGTGTGAGCACTCCTTCTGTGCTGAGTTGCCACCTATAAATTTGAGTCTCCCAGTCCTATCTCGAAAGGAGATTGTGTGCATAGACTGAGGACTTACTCCTCACTTTGTCTTCATTCTAATAAAAATCACTTCTCTTTTAGTTTTTATTTTTACTTTTATAATCCCTTAATTGTCTTATTTATTAGTGAAAATGGCTTCAGTTAACTTTTTTCCTAAGAAAAACCAGGTGAATGCAAATAAAATTCTGGTTTAGTCACTCTCCACATAGTTACAAATAGCATAGTTATTGATTAAATAGTAAATTTATTACTTTTTTTGTCATTACTTTGATGTAATTTCAGTTTTACAGAAAAGTTGCATGAATAGTGTAAAGAATTTCCAGATATCCTTCACCCATGTTCCCCAAATGTTAAATATTTCTACTTTTGCCCAGTCTTCTTTTTCCCTTCCTCCTTTCCCCAACCATTTCAGAGTAACCTGCCAACATGATGCCCCATTTTTCTTATATAATCCACAATAAAAGTTTAGCATTAAAAAACTTAACTGCTTAGAGACCTTAATGAAGTTTTGTCCAATGTCTCCATAATCTTTCTCATAGCAAAAGAAAATCCAATTTAGTTGAATTTAGTTTTTTGTCTTGATCAATCTGTCTTTAAGACTTAATTGGTTCTTGGTATAAAGGGCTTAGAATGCTGTTGGAAGGTAACATCACTAAGGTTAGTGAAATGAAGCTAGTGTAAACTAGTAGGAGTTAATAGCTAATCTGCTAGAAAGAAATTGAATATCTGATCCTTTGCTCACTATGGACTGTTCTGGGGGCTTTGTTCCATAGGAAAAGGCGACACAGTACGTCCCCTAGCCCATCCCGCAGTAGCAGTGGTAGACGAGTGAAGTCCCCGTCACCAAAGTCGGAGCGGTCCGAGCGTTCAGAAAGATCTCATAAGGAGAGCTCACGGTCAAGGTCATCTCACAAAGACTCTCCTAGAGATGTTAGCAAAAAGGCCAAAAGGTAAATGCAAATCGGTTTTTGCAGTATTTCACACACCAATATTTCACACACCAATTTCCTTGTTACTCCACCAGCTTTTAAAAATAATTTGGTTGGTAGCCTTTTTTTTTTAAAGGATTTCAGAAAAAAAGTAAAAACCAAAGAGAGAGCCTTTCATGTTAGAGTATGCCTTCCCACCTCCCCATACACATCTCGTGACTAAAGCACAAGAAGGCTTCCAACAAGTAAAGACCAGGAAGAGTTTAGCTGCTTTACTTTTCGTTGTGTTCTTCTTTAGTTTCTAGAGAATATTCTTTGATTTTTGTCAAGGCTGAAAGAAAAATGCATCTCCTATTCCTCCTGCAATCTTAATAGCATGTTCTTGGGTAGATACTTATGAAAATAAATACCATTTCAGTGTATAATTTAGTGTATGCTTTGTCCTTATAGTTCCAGAAAAGTGGTTCAGAAATGTTTTACTTATCTGGTGCTATTTTCTTGAGAGCTAAACTTTATTATTGTAAGCATTTTACTAAAATCTTTACAAAATAGATAAGTACTTGTGTATATGTACATGTGTATACATATAAATGCATTTATTTATTTGGCTGTCTTCATGAACAGCACTCACAAAATCATGCTTTCTCAGTGGTTTCCTTGAGTGATACTATAATAGTTGGAGCCTTTTCCCTCAAAAAGATAGGCTGCAAAGCTATCTTGGGTTTAAAATTTCTGAATGGTATTAGATGCATTTTGAACTTTATCTTGTGGATTTAGATATTCAAGCTTGGGGGTGTATCAGTAACTTGGGGAAATTGTTAAAACTGCAAGTCCCCAATCCCCACCTTGAGATTTGGGTTCAGTAGAGCAGTATGGTAAGGCTCAGCAGTTTCTGTACAAAACGTGTGAGAAGAGAGAGTGTGTGTGCACTGAATGGGCAGAATAGAAATCTGGGAACTTGACAGCCTCTTGTATCTTATCTCACTGATGTTTGTCATTAAAGCTCATTGTAGAGAACTTAACAAGTCAGTTTGAATCACAGGGGTACTGTGATAAATTGTTTTTGTTTGTTTCCTCAGATCACCATCTGGTTCAAGGACACCTAAAAGGTCTAGGCGATCACGGTCTAGATCCCCTAAAAAATCAGGGAAGAAATCCAGATCCCAGTCCCGATCTCCACACAGGTCTCATAAAAAGTCAAAGAAAAACAAACACTGACATAAAACTTTAAGATGCTGTCACTTATTGGAAATGCGATTTTGTTTTGTGCCTGAACGGTCTGTTTTGTTTTGTTTTTGTTTTTTTAATGAAAGAGCATTCCTGGGGTTTTTGTTCATTTGTCTGTGAACGCATGTGTACATTCATGAGTAACTGCATCTGTAGACCTGTCATTGTTTTATATTGTGTAAATTACTTTTGTTGTGGCTGTTTTCAAGATGAAATTTTTATTGTGATGAATTTCATCAGAAATGTGTACAATGGATCTGCTGGCAGTAGTAGTATTTTTGTTTTAGGATGCTGTGATTTAGCAAAACTAATACAGATGTCTTCCCCCATTTTGTAGCTTTGACAATTTGGATTAGATTTCAAATAAAATCTGAAGAGAAAACCATAATGTTGTTTTTTTGCCCTGTTGGTGACATCAAGTCCCTTAAAGTCTTACTGAGTTTAGCACTTGTGTTGTGTTTCTATACCTAATGCACTTTACAAGCTCCATTGTTCAAGCAGCTCAAGTTTTATGTTTAGTAAAATGACTATAAAAATTAGGGGACCTGAGACTTCTATTTGGTAGGTTCTCCAACCAGTTTCTTCAGTAAGGTTCTCTTGAGTAATACTAGTACCCAGAGATCAAAAGACGAGGTGAATGCAGCATGGCCTTTTGTTAATGGAATGGCTACCTAAAATATTTTTTCTTTTTTTCAAAAAAGCAGTATGATTTCAGTACACTCAGCCTATGTCCTGAGCAACTACTTATTATTGGGGGAAGATTGAGTCTCCATCTTTTGATTTTTTCATCAATCATGAAAGAAGTTTATTTATAAAATGTTTTCTAACAAGGGTCGGCTGTAGAATTTGTTGTTTGATAGTTGCCCCCGATAGCCCTCTGTAGGTTATCTTCACACCCCGAGCTTGTGTATGCTGCCAGGTTCTGTTTGAGGAACCTTTGGGGTTTTCTTGGTTAGTTTGGTTTTTTTTTTTAGATTTAATTTTAGCTTTAATTAAAATTTAAAAGTGAAACAGTTAAGGAAACTTAACATCCAGTGGTTTGTAAATTCAAGGTGCAGAAGTTGATTTAAACATTTGCAGAGTTAAAATCTGTTATGCCGTGGGAAAAAATGGCTGTGGTCTGAGGAAGAAATAGGAATCATTGTATGATATCAGTCATAATATTGCTATAAATGTAATGGATTAAAGGGCTGTGTGGACCTGAACTGACGCTGCTCTTCTTGAGTCTGCCCCCGTTTCTCCTTCAGGCACTTCATACTGTGGTTTGGTGTGTTTTATTCCCCTTAAAAGAAAGAGTAGAAAAATATTCCAATAGTAGCTTGTTTTGTGTTAGCTTGCTTTTTAAAAACATCTTTTCAAGTCGTTTGCCTAGTCACAAAATAAAATAAGCTCTACACATTTGGGGGGGGGGTAGGTGTATTAGCTCAGCAGTGAGGCGTGCCATTTCCAAACTGGGCAAACCTACAAAAGCTTTAGAAATGAGCCAATCAGATTATTTTACTTAGTGGTCATCAACATGCAGTATTGTTTGGAGGTTATTCTGTTATTCAATCTCTCATTTGTCCATATTGTCATGAAATGTTAATTATTCTAAATGTTGCACAGAATATACACAAACATTTGGTGCTAGTTTTTAAAATCTACAAATATAGCCATTTTAAAGTTACATGGTTTTATTCTCAGTTTATTGCCTGGGAGAATGGACTTTATATAATTAATTACCTTTTTTTGCAAAAATAATAATGTTTGAGTTGCTGCTGATTTGGACATTCCATAACTCTGGTTTCTAGTATAGGGTTCAAAATTAGTCAGGTAAAGATTTTGCCAGTCAGGTTGCGTGGAATGCTTGCTTCCTTCTCTCTTAAAAAATATCCCGGAGAAGTAGGAGTGAATAGAAATTGTTAGGTCAGTTTTGGGTGCTTATTTGTAGCATTTTTTTCTACTGCCATGAGATTTTGCAGTTCTTTTGTTGTGGATACAGAGACAGTGAGCATCGTTTACTCACAGTGGGTAAGACCAGCTTCCTTTCGGGTGGGTGGTGGGGATTGCTTAGGGTGATAGAATATGTATTCTCTGAAGTTTGTTAATGTGTATATTAGGTTGCATTGGGGTTTTTTTTCTGGAATTCCAAGTAACATTGTTAGGTAGGTTATTTGCAATTTTACTCAATGAGAAAAATGTCTAAAGTAAGCCTGTTTAATTCTCCATGGATTCTATGACATTTTCATGGGAAATATTCTACCATATTTTTATAATAGCATATTACTCATGTTTCCTATCTAAAAAACTCTTAATTGGATGGTGAAATTTCTAAAGGTTGACTAATCTGTTCCCAGGCAGGGCCTTCTATTTGCAGGAAATGCCCTGTTCTGGCTCAGTGATGGACAGTTATATATAGCTATGTCTTCTGTCATAGCTATATATAAGGAAATCCTCTGTTGTCTAGTCTTCTTAGAGGGTGTAAACCCTCTACCCTCTAACCTAACATTTACAAACAGGGATTCCTTATCAAGTTAATTACTATTTAATCTCCCTCTCTTCTATAGACAAGAGAAAATACAAGAGTAAATAGTGGTCTATTTCTTGGCAAAGAGAGACCTTTGATTGAAAGAGTTGTGTTTGAGAAAATTTTTTTTTGACATATTTACTTACTACTGTTAGTAAGTGTACAAACATTTCAGAACTGTAACATGTTGAGAACGTAGAGATTAAAGAACTGAACAAAGAGCGCTGGCTCCAAAGAAGGCTCTTATTTGGTTCAGAATGTTTTTGGCTTTTAAGCTAAAGTTTGCAGAAGTTATTATACACTGACCTAATTTTTCTTTATTGCAGACCATTCCTGTGGGCTTACCTTTAGTCTTTTATCCTAATTAAAGAATCTTAGAAGGAGGAAATTCTTGTATTTTGTTCCCCCAAACTTGAATATTCTTGAGCACTTGAAAATATATTTTAAGATATTTCAGTTGTGATCTGATTTAGGCTTATTAAAAATATTCTACACACATTTGCCTCCATGTTGGTGTAAGTTCTGAAAAATTATATGGCCATGATAATATAGTTTATTATTTTGATGATTAAAAATGAGAGCACATTACTCTGTTTGCCAAAATGACTTAACCTATTCTCAGATGCCACAACAGTATGATTTTTTTAGCAGAGAAAATTGTTTTTCAAAAGAAATAGTACCACTTTTCTAAGACTGTACATTTAAGAAATAAGAGCTTTTTTCCTTTGTTTTTCTCTTCTCTTTTAATGGGAAAGCTAATTACAGGAAATTCACTGTAGGTACTAATGACAGTACTAGTATAAGTTTAAAGGACATGTGACTAAAAAACTCAGAGCTTGGTTTATTCATATTTCATATGCGTGTTTTAGAATAGAGGTTAGGAGGTGTTTAATTCATTACCCTTTTGGCTTTGCCTTATTTTTTTTTATCAGTGTCCCAGGACTTAGATAATACACAAATGCAAAAACCCCAGGGAAGTGCTGTGAGGACAGACAGAGGGGACCACCCCTGGTCACACGGTGCCACCTCATGGAGTTTTGTGTACCTGGATTCTTTGTGTAATTGGTTATTTATTTAGTTTTGTAGATCTGTAGATAAAATGTTCTCGTTCATTTTCACATGTAAATTATGCTTGGAATACTTGTGATTTCTCTTTTAACTTCAATAAGCTCTTGTACATTTTATCTTTGGTGATTTTAAATATCAGGAAAGACTATTTTTTGGAAATGAGAATAATATTGTTGAAATTGGCTCAGCTGAATGTTCTGCAGGAAGACAATTTTGGGAGGTGAGCCGACTCCATAATGTAGTTACTCCTGGTGTGCGGACCCAGCTGATTGTGGGCCTGCTTTGCAGAGTGTCACTTCGGTTTTTCTACACCGAGATCGTGCAGTTACAGGCAAAGGGTGTAGAACTTGCCTTTTGTTGTCGTTGTTCTGACTCTTGGTTACTTGAATAAAAATACGTTGTTTTCATAGCAAACTTTAGACTCTTACGTAATTTTCTCCATGTAGTTTCCTGATGCAGGCCCAGTAAACCAGGGCCTAGCGTTCGGCAGCTTTCTTCCATGTCAAATGGGTGGTGTGTCACCTCTATCGGTTGTAGCTAAAATGTTACCACATTTTACATGTTCAAACTGTAATAAAATAGTTTTATGATAGCTTATTTTCTTGACTGGGGAATTGTGTTTCCTTATTGGTTCCCCCTTTTTTAAACAGTTACTTTGTTCTATTTTACTTCATTGAGGAAAATTCCAAATATATACAATAGTAGAATTAAGAACCATCAACCTGCAAATATCAACCTACTAGTGTGTATTTAAATATTTTGTTTTTAAAGCATAATGACTGACAGCATCATTATGTTCAAAATAATTCATTTTTCCTCTAAATTGTTATTTTTAATTTTGATAAAATACAACCACATTCACCATCATAACCACTTTTAGGTGTACAGGTAGCGTGCTGAGTGCGTCCACGTTGTGCAGCCGGTCCCCGTAGTGTTTCATCTCACAAAACGGGGTCTTCACCTGTTACGTTCCCCTTTTTCTCTCTTCCCCTCACCGCTGGCTGGCAGCCTCCGTCTTGCTTTCTGTGGTTCGGCTGCTCCAGATACCTCACGTAAGTGGAATCACATGGTGTCTCTTTGTGACTGGCACATTTCATTTAGCGTAACGTCCTCGAGGCCCCTCCACATGGTAGCCTGTGCACCGGTTCTTTTTTAAAGCCTGCTTTTTCTTTCAAGTTTCTGTAAGTCCTTATGGGACTCGAAAAGGGTTTGTCCCAAATGGCACATAGGTGTCTTTTATTCTGAGCAAAACCTTCAAAAGAAAACAAAGTGTATGTGCCAATTACTCTACAGCACTTTCTTTACCATTTTTATCACTTTTCATGCTGTGTTCTCTTTCATAGTTATGTATGATATATTAATTTTCAACACTTCATAGCATGGAGTTTTTCCTGATGAAAGGGGAAGTAATGTTTTGGCATTTAGTAAACTCAGTGTTTGGATTAGATACTTACTTTGCTATGGAGTCATATTTAGACTTGAATACCAGCTCATCTTCCTCATTGTGTGACCTTTTGGAACCTTATTTTCTCACACATAAAATGGAGTAGTAACCTTGTGTGTTTATCATAAGGATAAAATCACAAATCACTGGCAGGCAGTTGTCATGCATAGAAGTTAAAGCTCATAAGCATTCAGTATTTCTGAAAACTAATGATGGGAACATCTTCTAAAACAGAGTAACACAATTCCATAGCATTGGTACCTATAAAAGATACTTTCTTTTACTTGGTTTGTAGTTAACAGATTTTGGAAACTTACATTTGGGGATATTACAGTTTATTGCACACTGAGTGCAATAATAATAAACGATCACTTTATAATCTGCTGGCCTGCTCTTCTAGACATTTAACTCTATGAGAAAAACATTTTTTATTTTTGTCAAGTGAATTTTTAGAAATATGTTCTATTGTCATTTATTATTGTAGAATCGCATAAACCAGAGTTCCTAAAAGGGGGCCCATAAAAGAAAATCTCCATGTAGACAGTTTAAATAGGATATATATGGAAAGAGCCTGGAGAATAGTATAAAATATGCTGCGTGAGATTTTTTGTCCAAGTCCAAAATCAAAAAAGAAAAATCTATACCAATTATCAGAACTGAGTAGCAGTGTACAATTTTCACAAAATGAATGGACAGAGTAGTTTCCTGAAAGACTAAAAAGAAAGTTAATAATGTGTAATTGAACTTATAGTATGTATTTTGCAAGTTAAAATTTTTATTTTCAGATGACATAGAAATAAGAACTGTACCATAAAATAACTACAACTATAGAATTTGACAAGGAAGTGCCACTTTAAATTCTCAAAAATAATAGCTTTGCATTATGTCCTCAGGACATTTGTGAAGCTCTGGAAACTGCACAAACACGAGTTTGGAAGAACAAAAGTTTGATTAAAAACATTACTTGGTCTCCCATCTAGCTGAAACACTGAAATGGGAAAGAAGCATCACCTCTCTCTACACTGACTTTCTCTGAGCAGCCAACAGTTCTATTATGTGAAGTGCGTTAGATGAGTTTTCAGCATATTTTGTTTTATTGCAGTTCAATTGCTACAGGGGTGAGCAGTTGATTAAAAGCATTTAGGAAAGTGCTTTTCAGATGGTTTTTGGCCGCACTAACATTTCAATAAAGGATTTGTCAAATTCTTCATTTATTTCTGGGAAATTAAACTATCTGGGCCTAATGTAAGCCTCTATCATGGAATGTAGTAAGCTATCAAAACTAAAAGGTGTTGTAAGTAGATTTTTTATCTGTATATTCTCCAATCACAGCACCATGTAGCTAATGTGAATTTTAACTCTTGAGTTTCCAGACCACCTGTGTGTGTGTCCTGAGTGTTTCATAGGGCACTGACCCGTGACTTCTGATACGTCCTGTTTTCAGAATGTGTCCTCCCTAGAGCATGTCCAGCACTGTACCAGGCACTATACATGCGGGGGAATGACAAGCAGAAATCTCACTCAAGTACTTCTCAAGATACTGGTTTAATTCTGAACTGATTGCCTTAAAAGCATGATTAATTTTACTTAAATGGCAGGCATATGTTAGAGAAAATCTTGAAGCAAGGAATGATGATTGTACTTGTTCTCCTCACTGACACACACTTGTCAAAACTTCCAATTATTTTTTATTTGCATGTATTTTGTACTGAAACAGTGTGGTCTTCATTTTGTTTATTATGTAATAAAACCCAGCTGATAATGTATGAAGAATGAGAGACGTTTGGTGCTCAGATAAAGAATCACTCTGCCTACTGTGTATTTCAGTTTATAATGTGGTAAGTTGGAGACTTCAGCTACCTAGATCTGTTCAACATATTTCTAGAACAGCTTATGTTCGTCGTTAACAATTGTGACTGGTCCCACCCTACCCAGTAGAGTCATGATTCTCTTCAAGTGCCATAGCCGGTCACAGTGGGATTCAGACTACTTAGCAACGCAGATCACCACCTCATAGCTTTCCTTGTACCTCTATGTCCTTGTATCCCGTGGATGATGGCGGGGTGCTGGGGAAGTCTTCAAGTACTTGAGTATGCTAATACCTGTCCCTCTTTATCCTAAACTTTGGCCTTCCGTCATTTTACCTTGATGTGTGCTCACATGCACTCACCGGGTATCCGAGGCCCCTGGAGGACCTTGCAGAGCACCGTAATGTCTGTGTGGAAGGTGGTTCTTCTGGTGCAGGAGACCCTTTTGATGCAAATGGAGGAGATAACATACTTTGAGAAAAAGGAGGACTTGCCTTCCCCTCCTTACCTCTTCGGATTTCATTGTGCTTATTTCTTTCCCCATTTTCTCTCAAGCTTTTCGTTCTTTCCTTGCAGACTGTGTTGCAGACAAGGTAAATATGATAAATAAACTGTCCAATCTTGGCTCAAATGATGTTTCTTTCTGATTAATTTGTGCCGATTACTTTGACCAAAACAGTGCCCAGTGCACGAAGAAAAGAGGCAGGCTGAGAAATATCAGATGTTATCACTTCCATAATCTCATGTGTGAATGGGTAGTTGTCAAACCTCAGGGATATTTTGGGTGGAATGTGATTTTTAAAGACAAATTTCTGACCATGATCCTATTCAATAAATCTGGGTTAGCTCCCACAAGGCTTGAAAAGAAGAAAGCCACGCAAGCCGAGGGCCTCCTTGCAATCCCAGCCCTTGGTGTTTTGTGGCCCAAGATGACTTGGCCAGCCAATCAAAATGCTACCTGGACTCCAAAGATCCAGGGACTCCCTTCAGCCTTCCAAGCACAGGTTCCAGTCACTTCCCAGCTGTGTGGCCTTGGTCAAGTTGTTTAACCAGAGGCACTCTGAGTCCATTTTGTCATCTGCAGAAGGAATTTGCCATCCACTCACCAGGGTTCATCAAGCTTGAGTGTCTGCTATACACGAGACACTGTTCTGGGTCCTGGGAATATGTGATGATGAACAGGACAGTCTCGTTCATCCTTAGTCATGGAGTGTGCATGCTAAAGCGAGCAGCCAGACCAAATCAAGTGAGATTATTTGATGGCAAAATGCATTGGGGGGAAAAAGACCAAGTGGGTGAGGATTACCTTTTTAGATAGGGTGGTCAGACGTCCTCCCGGAGGTGTGGTGTCAACTGAGACCTGGAGTAGGTGGTGCTGGCTACAGGGTACTGCGTGCTGCAGGCTGAGGGAGCCCTGGCGATGGATGTTTGGGGGGGAGGGCAGTGGTGCTGAGGAATGGGAAACAGTCATTGTAGCTGTAGTCCTGTGAGGAGAGGAAGGGTTGGCATGAGAGGCTAGCAGGACTTAAAGGTTTTAAGCAAGGAAGTGGGCTACTTGCAAATCGCTCTGGCCACTGTCACGAGCATGGGGGGAGGTGGCTGGAGGAGAAGCAGGGGTGCCGGTTGGGAAGGTGTTGGCTGTGAAGACCACATGGGATGGTGTGAGTGGCATTGACCCAGGCACACAGCAGCTTCCTGTTAAATACTGGGCTGGCCAAAAAGTCTGTGTAGTTGTTTCTGTAAAATAACATGTTTTTCATTTTTACCAATAACTTTACTGATTTGAGCATTTTGAGTATGTTGGTTATCACCTGCTATTGGCTTCCAGTGGGTAGGGGCCAGGGTGCTGCTAAACATCTTCCAATGCATAAGACAGCCCCCACTTAAAAGAATTATTTGGCCAAAATGTCAATTGTACCAAGAAACTTCACAAACCACTTTTGACACATTTAGTCACAGCCCCTTCTCCATACACTGCACAGATCTTTTTTGTATGTTTTAGTTGTGTTTTTACCTTTCTTGGGACAATAAAGCACAATTACCCCCAAAATGTTGTGTATGTTCCTCCATCTTCAATATTAAAATAGCTGCAGAAAAATTTACCGTAATAATTTTTTAAGAAGTGTACATTGATGCGATGCGAGAGCTGTCACAATACAATCTGACAAAATTGTTTCAAATGAAGTTAAAGGACAACTAAGCACCACCGGAGTGACCACACGGGGAAAAACTAAGTGAACTTTTTGGCAAACTCAATAATTCTGCCTTATCTTTTTAGCTAATGATTCCCATCCCCACACCCACCCTCCACAGTGGCTACATTTAGTTCACCCTGAGATTAGTTGGACTCTGACTTCAGTCTTAATCTAAACAGAACAGGACACAGCACCTTTGTTGCTCGTAGGCTGGTACGTGAGGGAATTACAAACTAGGCCAGCAGTCCCCAGCCTTTTCGGCACCAGGGACGAGTTTCGTGGAAGACAGTTTCTCCGGGGACTGGGGTTGGGGGGGTGGTTTGGGGATGATTAAAGCACATTACATTTATTGGGTACTTTATTATTACATTGTAATATATGATGAAATAATTACCCAACTCACCACATTTTAGGGTTAGCGTGTGAACTTCCCCAAACTGACAAGTGCACAGTGTGGAAAGAGGCACGGACAGAAGAGGTAAATAAAATAATGGGTGGGGCATGTGTGGACTAAAGTGGCAGATTCGCATGTGAAGCCTGCCACCAGGCGCGGCGTCTCACTCACTGATAGTTTCGATATGAGTCTGCAGGCAATCGACTTACTACGGTCTCTGTGCAGTCACACCTCTCTGCTAAGGATGATCTGTATGTGCAGCCGCTCCCCAGCATGGCATCACCGCCTCAGCTCCACCTCAGATCACCAGACGTATTCTCACAAGGAGCACACAACCAGATCCCTCACATGCGTAGTTCACGGTAGGGTTGGCGCTCCTATGAGAATCTAATGCAGCCCTGATCTGATGGGGGCGGAGCTGAGGTGGCGATGTGAGCGATGGGGAGCAGTGTAAGTACAGATGAAGTTTCCCTGGCCAGGCAGCAGCTCACCTCCTGCTGTGCGGCCAGGTTCCTGACAGGTCATGGATCTAGCAGGGGGTTGGGGACCCGTGGTGTAGACAACAAAGCATCCTTTCCTACCTTTAGTACCACCCACTGCTCTACTACCTGCTGCACTGTAGGTGTTACTTGGAAAAAGATGTGGTCAAGTAAATGGGGGAAACGTGGCTACAAAGGCTTCTTCACAGCAATCTTCTCAGAACCGCAAATATGTGCTGTGTGTCCCTGTGTAGGAGACAGCGTGTCCTGTTTCCCAAACTTGGCTGATCTCCGAAGGCTCGGGTTCCACTGAACGTACTCTGGAAACCTTCACACTGTGATTGGGCAACTCTTTCAGTCCGGTGATCTGGGGAGTGGGTGAGGTAGGTGTGCCAGTGTCCTCGGGCACAACAACAGAGACCGTCTCGAGCTAGGTTAGGCAAAAAGAGATTCAGTGGAAGCCTGTGGAGACTCAGAGAATGACAGGACAGCTGGAAAGCCAGATGTGGGAATGGACCGGAGATGAGAGCTTTGGGCAGAGGGAGCCCAAGTCCAGCAGTGGGCAGTCTGGCCAGGTCCCCACCAGGCAGGGTCACAGCTCCAGCTGTCTTCAGCCTTTGTCCTCCTGCTGGAGGTCTGGATTCCAGGAAGGGGACATCTGATGGTCCCCTTTCCAGGTCACAGACTTTCAGAAAATACAGCTGTAATGGCAACAAACCATCGTTTACTATACTTTGCCAAGGTCTTCTAAGAAACTTGCATTGTTTTTACTTAATTCTAAATTATACTTTGATGAACGTCATTATGCATGCCATTTTTGTTTTCATTCTTTTAAAATTTTTTTGGATGATTCCCAGAGATGGAATTCTTGGGTCAAAGAATATAAACACTTAAAAATTCATGTGATGCATTTGCCAACTTTCTTCCCCAAAATGTACTATTTTAGACTTTGTTTAATGTTGGGGAGTGAGTATTTTACCGTACTTTTGCCAGCATTGGGAATGCTGGTTTCCATGTTGCACGGAGGTACCAGGAACATTTCAAAGAAGAGGCTGAAGCTGCGGGGGCTTTTGTTGGGTGGTGAAAACTGGGGGGCAGCTGGGGGAGGTTTGTGATCTCCGAGTATGATCTAGTTTGGAAATAACATTGGAGGTCTTAAACTTGAGTTCTTATGTGCAAGTGTGACTCAGAAGTCCCCCTCCTTTGCCATGATAGACAATGAGGTCCTCATGGACCAGGTAGCCCCATGGACTGTGATTTTAGGGAGAGGTCCCAGAGCCCCAGGGCACCTTCTGGAAGAATGCATCTGAACTGGGTCAGAGCACCGTGTTGCCCAGTAAGGGAATCCGTTCAGGAGCTACGGCCTCTGCCTGCTGTTTTGAAGAGACCTCTATGCCAGAGTCAGGCAACTTGGGTTCTTCCATAAATTAGCGTGTGCACTTGAGCAAGAAGTTCTGTCTTTGAGCCTCAGTTTCCTTGTGAGTCAGTCAAATCACTGTTTCCCAGACACCGGTCCGTGGACCCGTGAGATCAGATTCATATGGGAACTGTCAGAACTCAGATTCCGAGTCCCCACCTTAGAGGTCCTGGTTTAGCAGGTCTGGGGCGGGGCCTTGGGCCTGAAACACATGAAATTCCTTTTAATTATGGAAAATTCAAACATATACAAGAGTATAACGAAACCCCTTGAATATATAACCCAGCTTCAAAGAAACACCTTCATGGTCACTTGAATCTATAGAAATTCAACATTTTATTATTTTAATTGTACATAATCTCAGTAAGTTTCTCTACAAGATACAGACTTTAAAAAATGCACAATACTATTGTACACCAGAAATAATTGTGATCCCTTAATATCATTAAAAAAATCATGTCATTGTCTACAAATTTATAATTGCCTTATAGAAATGATTTTTTTTTTATTTTAAATTGAAATCCAGATGAGGATCCCACAGTATGATTGGTTAATATGGCTCTTAGGTAACTTTTAATCCATTGGTGTCCCTCAATTTATTTTTATTTTTAAAAAGATTATTTATTTTTAGAGAGGGGAAGGGAAGGAGAATGAGAGGGAGAGAAACATCAGTTGTGTGGTTGCCTCTTGCACACCCCCTACTGAGGATCTGGCCTGCAACCCCAGCACGTGCCTTGACTGGGAATTGAACCCATGACACTTTGCTCCCCAGGCCTGTGCTCAATCCACTAAGCTATACCAGCCAGGGCTGGTGTCTCTCAATTTAATTTTTCCCCTTTAAACTTTTTGTTGAAGAAACTGTTTTTTTGTCCTGAAGACTTTCTCACAGTCTGGATTTTGTTGAGTGCCTTTCTGCCCCCAAAATGTTTATTTTCTACAAGGCAGTAAGTTGATCTAGAAGTTTGATCTGACATAGGTTCAGAAACTTTGGCAAGAGCACTTCATAAAAGGTGGTGTGCCCCTCCATTAGGGGCACATAATGTCTGGTCGTGTTTCTTTTTGTGACCTTGGCAGCCATGGATGACCGTGGCCTGTCACCCTCAGTTCATTATGGTCAATGGTGACACCCTCCATTCTTCATTCCTTT